ATTTGCATTCAGTAAGTAGACATTGATGTTACAGTATCTTAAGCTTTTCTTGATTTTTAGAGATGTATACCGTACATGCATTAAACATGATTGAAGTGTCTGATTGTTTTCTTCTTTGTGTGTGTGCAGATGTTCCATTACGCAGGTATCAGGTCCTGCTAGCAGACAACACAGTTTGTTTGTTTGTTTATTTAGTTTATTTTTCCTTTAACTCTACAACAATGTAATGCTCTTTAAAGTAAATCCAACAAAACAAAATATTCAGACTGAACAAGGAGCACTTGTTGTTACAGGAAATTGCTATGTACAGCTACACACTCCTCTGACAGACATGAGAAGGTTCAAAGTGCTTATCAAACAGAAGGGAAAAAAGGAGGAAAATCAAACAAAAGCACGAGTGATCCCTTTGTGAGAGACCCGTAATAAAACTGCTTGGCACCAGTCTCCACCAAAAGAGACACACACACACACGCACACACATACACACACACTCGTGCACACACACATGCGCACACACACACGCAGTCACACTCAATCCATTCACGCGTACACACTCATGTCAAGTGATTACTGGGCCGTTGCAGTGACGCCTCTGAAAGAGCACGTCAGCGTGAGTGGAGAGAGAAATACAACATATGCAGACCAACAGAACTTCTCGGGAGGGGAAAAAAAAAAAAAAAGCACAGCAAAGGATCAGCCTGGCATCTTGTGTGTGTGTGTGTGTTAGCTGACGACCTGTTCACCACGTTACCCAACCCTCCCACACACATACAACCACCAACCATAATGCTCGGTACAATACTGAATAGCACAGCACACTTTCAGCTTTATTTTGATGCACTCTGTGGCAGTGTCTACTTAATGTCATGTGCAAAAAATAGCCTTTTTTTTTTTCTTTAGACAATTCACATTCATGGATCGTTGAACAAGACAAGCTTGGAGCCCCACATGCCTGTGAAGTGGTGAAAACACAGAGAAAGGATTCATGCTGCTGGCTATCAGTGTCAGTGAGGAAAGTGAAAGGACTCACACTGCGCTGATAAGTTGACACCTCATCGAGCCACCTTTTTCAAATCAATTCCTTTGTTGACATGATAGTCCGTATTTAAGAGATCATGAATTATGATGTGTTGGCAAACATTTTCAACATTTAGGACATAGACACATCATTTGTGAAGCCTTGGAATAAATCATCTGTTATAGGCACTGATCTAGGATTACAGGCCAGCTTCACATCAGCATTATAAAGTGAACAGTCTAAGATATTCTGGCTGCAGATCAGTATTCCACTTTATCTCTGCAGGTGGAGAGAAAACGGAGAGGTGGCTAAGGGTCAAGCCAAAATTTGAATTTGCTGCACATTTAATGCAGAAGTACCATCTCAAATAAATGCAAAGACTGCCACTCTTGTTGCCACGGCAACACGTGTTTTTGTAAATATTACACTGACAGTGATGGCAGCATCTCATCCACGAGGGGTAAACAAATCCCTAGTTTTCTGCTCGATTTGAAAGAGCGAAGGTCGAGCGGTTGAATTAAACGCGTTCACCACTTCCACAGTGAGAGAAACAAACACTTCAAGCCTGTTGTTGTTCTGGCCGCCTTAAACAGCGGCTCCACTGCACACTGCACTCATCTGCTGGACTGAAATCCAACAGGAGATGTCAGAAACATAAGATCAGCAATACAGCTCCAGTATGATTAAATAGTATCAGGGTTTCAATCAGTGACACACTTACATTTATGCATTACCTCTGATAGTCAAAACTTTGTCATCTTTTGTGGTGAACCACAGTGACCATCTGGCTTGCTGCTAAATGAAGCACATGTGGGCCCTCTGCTGACGTGACGAGCTGAGAGATGAGGAATAAAAAGATTGGCAGTCTCGGCGATAAGATCATCATTAAAGTGAAAGTCTGCGGTGGTGTGCTGTGCCTTTAATGCTCCAACAGAGAAAACCACAGATTTTCAATAAAAAGGCCATTCTCGATGGTGTGAATCTGGAAAGCGAGCGTCACTCAGCAACTACAAGCTCTGAATGTGTGTGTGCGCATGAACGAGTGTGTGTACAAAGTAGAGGTAGTGCTTGTAGATGGGTTTGAATGGAGTAATGTTTGTGTGTGTGAGATTGGGGGGGGGTATTTTGGGTTCAGGCTGCTTGTTTTGGACCACTGTTCTCAGTGCATAGACGTCTTATTGGCTACAGACACGCTCGTTTTTCCATTTTAACGTGACCGTCAAGAGTGTGACCTCATGGTGCCGCGCGACACCTTCGACTTCACCCACTTCCTCCTCATAATCTGGAAATTGATAAATCCACAAACCTGCTGTGATTGGCTGATACCGAACAAAAATGACGAGCGTCACCGTAGCCACAGGTCAGAACCATCTTTCATTTCCCATCTCATAAAACACTGATTATCCTGTGGCAATTAAATTGTTTGGATTTTAAACAGCAATTCAACAACAAAACCTCAATAAATTAAATCAGAGTAATGGTCGCATTTAAAAGGGAAAACCACTGCAGCATCAAAACAGGACACCCTGCTTCTCTATTTAAAAAAAACACACCTGTTACCTTCAACAGGTTGCAAAATATACTTGTTTTTCTGCAATTAATAACATAAGAAAACAAAGAAATTAAAAAAAAGATTTTTGGTGACTAATTAAGTGAGCCACTATTCAAGGATTCTATACATTTTTCTTAGATGCTATATAGGTATCTGAATATATTATTTTATTCATTTATTTTACAAAAAAATGTGTGTGTGTGTGTGTGTGTGTGTGTGTGTGTGTGTGTGTGCAAGAAGGTCATAGAATGGGTGTTAGGCAGAGTGGGCATCTCAGTGAAGCTTCTCTGACATAGTGTCGTGGGTGGAGTTACAGACTTTTGAAAACACCAAGAGCCCTTTCTGCTGCCGCTGCTCTCCTCCATGTTTCAGCCAATCAAAGTGGAGATTACAAGTGAGGTCACTGTCAACCACCGCCTCAAAAGAAAAAAGAAATAGAAAATATGTTGCTTTAGAATTTGAACATGGAAGTTTAAACGTGCCAAATTCACAACTTCACTTGTGATTTCCACTGAAGCACTGAAAAGTGAGCGAGACGTCCAGCTCCCAGAGCCTGCTGGGTAAAGAGAATTAAAAAAAAGGGGGCTGCTGTGAGTGAAGGGCATGAAGGTATGGCTAACAGGAGAGATTAAAGTCAGTCAGTCTGTGTCTGACACAGACTAACAACACATCAGTTTACACTCCCAGCAGACATTGCAGTTAATAACAGTCTATCAGCGTGGAAGAGCCGGGCCGACATCAGCTGTTGAAGGGTCGCACGTTCTAAAGGCTTTTCTATGGATCACTAACTAGTCCTGTTGTAAGACTCACAGGGGTGAGAATGATTTACTCTCCTCACTGTGGTCAAGATAAGGATTCAAATGAAGTAACTAAGTACTCTGAGAGAAAAGAAGAACTACTTGAAAATCCCAACAGCATTTTTGTTAAAAAGTTCAAAAAAATCTTAAACCTTCAGGTACATCCTCTGTCTGCACTCTGGGCTGACTCTCAACACATTCAACACCAAGTCAACGCTGCCGCAGACACAGCTGCAGGCCAAAATGAAATCCTTTAAATCTATTTTGCATTTATATTCAATTAGCTGTATATACTGTATATATACACACACACACCTTTGTGCCATTCTGTGTGAAAAGCTGATAATAACTCATCAAAACAAAAGCAAGCAAATAGTTGAGATTCAGCCCAGAGCATGTTAAAGGGTCAGTTCACCCAAATTACAAAAGTGTGGATTAACCAGAGTGTTGGGGACACATAATGACCAGTTCACTGATCAAGAGGAGGACTGCTGTGACAATGTTGATGAAAATGATGTGCCGTGTTCTGGGGCTCTGGACGAGCTTTATCAAGTGTGGAGACCACAAACTTATTACAGCCTGTGTGGAGTTAGAAAGATGTGGGTGTTTACCAGGCAGGAAGGATCTTATTTAAAGATACTATTGTGTTGCATTATGGGAAACCCGGCGTTTTTGGAGCTTAACCCTGCTAGAGGATAAAAGTCTAGATAAATCGGTCCCCCAACTATACAGAAGGGCAACACTCAATGATTGGAGCAGCACTTGGAATTTCATCTTTCAGTGCTGTGAGCCACAAACAAGTTATTTAATAATAGAATAATCAAATTACATAAATGTAATGTCATTTCAAGCAAAAATGCCAAACACTCTGGTTCCAGCTTCCCAAATATGAAAAATGCTACTTTTTGTTGTCATATGTATGTTATTAAACTGAATTTCTTCTGGTCTGAACATGTGAGAGAGACATAATGGCCAAATGTTACAGAAAAAATATGACTTTAATTGATAAAATGATTTGCAGATTTATTGATAATGAAATTAGTTGCATAATTGCCCTTATTCAATTCCCTCCACTGGATTGGGGTGGTGACAACCTTAGGGCAAATAAAATGACATTTAGATGCATGGTTAGATACCACTAGTGGTATGTGAGGACACCTTTTTTGGTAATGTGGGTGAACTGACCATTTAAGCTTTTCCCTTTGTGAGCATCAGCTATCCACTCATTTCTAAAGCTCATGATTACCAGGACATTTTTCCACATCCCGATCTAACACCCTCCAGAGAAAAGATCAAGTCCAGGCTGGGAGATGATGATGATGATGATGGTACGCAGAAGTCTGATGAGAAGCGTGGATAGGCGGGGAAATGATTCAATGGACCAAAGCCCTCCAAAAGACTTCAGCGACACAGTGAGACAACCTTCTCTGCCTGCCTGGTCCAAGGCACCAGGATGTCCATTCTCACTCCTCTGGCCTCGGAGTGCAGTCCCGTCACTGCCACAAACCCTCCTGTATGGCAAGCATGTGATTTCCTCTCGCACCCCCCCACCCCTGTGCACACCCACCGTTCAGAGCGCTCTGCATCACGTCATTCAGCTCCTCTGCCACGTCATCCTCTGTATATACACATTAAATTCCATATCTGCAGCACACACACACACATAAAGTACATGGGACATTCTGTGTAGCTCCTGTGCTCTTCAGCGGTGCATCGGTGTCAGCAGCTGGTGGCTTAGCCAGACTTCCCGTCCTGTCCCGGTCCTCTGAAACTCAGTTGGAGCTGGCCGTGATGGGTTTCTCCAGCTCCATGTCCAGGGGGGCCGGGCTGAGCTGGAGGTTGCTGTAGCAGGTCTTACAGACACGGCTGGGCTCAAACAACTGCTGGCTTGGCACTGGGATCTTCTGGTCGCAGCAGCTGGCACAGAACACGTTACCGCAGTTCCTGCAGGGAGACACAGACGGGTCACTGCTGGACTCTCAAACAGAGCCTCTCTACACCTACAGTTACCATGCGTCTCCTGTGCGTACGATTCAACTCCATGACATCTGCACCCTGTTCTTCATACATGGGAAGCTAAGTTAGCTTGATTTGATTATTGATCATTTGATAAAAGCCAGGATTTCTGTTTTTTTCAAGGCTGACCTAATGTTTACCTAGAGCTAAAACCTGCAAATATGTATGCTCATTGACAGTTATCAAGATCTTTCACATATAAATGACTCCTTTCATTAGAGATGACTACAAAATAAGAAAATTTTAGAGCTGTTGGTGTGATTATCATCAATGAAGAGTAAAAACTATGTAACAAAAAAAGAAATCAGTTAAACTAAAAATAGAGAACTAGTACAAGTACTGTTTGGGATAGTATGAACAAAAGAAAATACATTTTCAACAGTGATCAAATCAAATGAACCATGTGGTTTTGATGGGGATTCTTCATTTTAACACTAAAATTGATGAAGTTTTGTATCAGAAGTACAAATTGTAGAGTACAGTTGGATTGAAACAATCTATTAATCATTCATTATGAATTACCCTCCATTACAGGTTAATTATAGCCAGAAGTAAATCTGATTACTGAAATTCATCAGCTTTTTCATCTCTATGGTTTTTGCTTCTTAAGAGTGCTTGAAAGGGGTTCACTGCATACTCAGAATATGTTTTAAGTTAAAAGATAAGGCTAGTGATATTACAAAAACAGCAATGTGTTATTTAGTCCATCTCATCTCTTGTTTGTTTTTAACAAATGTCCAATGCAATGGGAATGTGTTGACTAATTCCAGAGGCAGATTTCTGTATATGTGGTGCACTAGTGAGTATTTGGTGTGAGGTGTGTGGGTGAACTCAAAATAAACTGCAGTGTTTTCTTGGTAATTAAGCAACATCACCCGGTGCAACAGTGTGGCTCACTAATGTGTTTTTGGACAACAATGGAGCTCTACAGCACAGAGAAAGAAGATATACAGATCAAACCTCTGACAGTGTTTGAAGTTAGTAAGATGAGAATGAATGGATCATTTTAGCTGGCTATCATAGCCTGGATCAGATAACCCACATGTGAAGAACAGGAGACTGAAAATGGATACTGAAAATGTATTTCAAATTGATTTACAGAAAGTGATCATTTGTTCTTGTCAGTTGATCACCGGGGACACATGATAAAATAGGTGGAAAGACAGTATTCACTGTGTGTGATGTCGCACTACATGCCGGGTTAGAAAAGATGCTCTATCATGTAGTGGTGCTAACTTGATTATTTAGTCCATTAAAAACACGTGATCATCACTATAGACAGGAAGGCAGGTCACACTGGAGGTTTCAGATACCCATGCTCAGCTTCAGATGTAAGGCCATGCTCACACACTTATACACACAGTGGTCCCTTCTACCTGCCTTCACTCACCCTGAGCAGAAATAATAATCAAAAAAACCCCCATCTAATTCACCCTGAGTCTCCAGCCTCTTACACCACCAGGTGGGACCAAATGGTCTCCAGTACCATGCTGTGCTGCTGGGAGGTGAGATGCAGAGGGGCTGGTTTGGGGCAGCATGCTGCCGGGGTGTCTGTCAAGGGTGGTGGGAGGGCAGGATGCTGATGTGGTGCTATGGCAGGAGGAGGGTTGAGGTTGAGGAAGACAACAGTTTTTGAGTTTTCTGTAAGATTTGAAATTTTCAGGTGATATAACAATCAGCCCTCCACCGATCCCAGCTCTCCCACTGACAGCACCCTGCTCATGGTCACAGCCAATTGAAAACTGCTGAATGGAAACACACTGGCGCTGCAGGACGCACATTCAAATCCATACATCTCAGAAATGAATAGACATTTCCCTGAGAATTTGCTGACAACTAGGACAAAATGAAGGGAAACCAGATGAAGCAGGTGAGGAGGGGAAGGAGCAGAGGGGGGAGGGATAGGGATTAGGAGGAAGGTGCAGCGATGCCAGGTTAAAAAAAGTGGAAGGTGGAGGGTGGAGGGTGGAGAGTGGAGGGTGGAGGGGGGACATGGGAGCCGGATCTCACCAGACCTCCTGGACAGGCTCCCTGCCACTGTAGAGGAGAGGGGCAGACAATGGATAAGAACTGCCTAAGCAGTGGAGAACACTTAACACACTAAAACACACTTCCTGCTGAAGATGTGTGTTAAAATTGTGAAACAGCTACAACCCTACACTGTTAATTCTACACTTTTGTTGTTTAAATCTATAGCTGAACTAACTACAAATTAACTCTGTCCAGACGTCACTGGATGAACAACTGAACATTGCATTACTCGAATTTCTGTGCTTAACTTGATCCAACCCACCACAAAGAAAAGGAGATAAAGAGCAGACAACAGTGATATGAGGAAATGATAACACCAGAGGAAATACCACTAACTGAATAGAACGAGACAGAATACTAAAATGCACCCAATTACTCTTCCAAGTAGACTTTGAATGGACTCTGTTGTTCAATCTAGCCCTTTTTTTTCTTGGAACTTATCTCTAAGACATCAGCCCTATCCAACAAAATAACTCAATAAATCTATTGACCTATCAACAAGGCACACTCCACCAGTTTACTCCAATTTACTTGTCACTGAGAGCTGTTGTATAATGTCTTTAGCAGCTCTGAGGGAGCTTACTTTAACTCCCCCCCTTCAGTCAAAAATCTGTCGTTCTTCTTGTTCATACAGTGTGATGTTGGAATGATGTCTGTGCAGAGTTTGACACTAGAAGGATGTTTTCACATTCATCTGCTGAAAGTGCTCATTGAAAATCAGATTTTAATGGGTGGAGCCAACGAGCATGATTACTACTATATTATTATGATTGGTTACATCACAAATAGTTAGGAAGACAGTCCTGATCCAGTATGCAACTTGTACTGTGTGATGTAGAAACTTTTTTTTGACTGGAGGGGGACTTTAAAGTTTGTCTCTTGCGTATGGAAGTGCAATACTAAATCATTGGAGTGCCACTTCAATGAGAAAACAGAAAGGCCCTGACACACTTAGAACTAAAATGCATCTTGTGTGACCTAATCACAGTGGACATACAAAACATATTAAGGATACATTAGATTGTTGTTTTAACCACATCTGTGTGTGGTCAAAGAAACATCTTTTCACATATCTGAAGAAACATGTGATATATCTGGAGAGGAAGTGAAATCCCATGAAAAATGGTCTCTCAAGATGAATTCCAGACTCATTAAGATGCCCAGTGTGAACTGAAAGCCTCTTCAGCTTTATCTAGACACAGTCTGGATGTGTCTGGTTACAAGAAACTCAGTCTGAGCAGAAGAGGAGCGAGCTTAAACAGCAGAAATATCTCTTTAAGCCTCAACGGGACAGACAGGAGTGGTTGATGACAGGGAGAGTGGCTGAAGGTTTGAGCTTCTGCAGCTTGATAACCCTTCAGTACTTACCTGCAGTGATGTTTCCTGGTGGCGAGCCAGAACCTGCTCTCACAGCCGTAACACTGGGCTGCCAAATGGTCTGGGTACCAGCGAGTCACCTGTAATGTACAGACTGATCTCAGCTCACCTACCATCAACCATCAACCATCAACTGCCATTTCTGATGAAATCTGAAGGCCGTATATGCAAGCTACAGACAAACACAACCATTGCTTTGGGAGTTTCGTTCCCTCCCTCTGGAAAATGATCTTTAGGTTAGCCTCGTTTCTCACCTCAGTGTCCTGCTTGTCCACCTGCTCCCAGCTGGCCTCAGAGAAGAGCTCTGTGCTGCAGCGCGACAAACAGTTGGGGTCCAGGTTGTACTCAGAGTCTGTCATTGAGGTCTGCGTGGAGGGAGACACAGACAATCAGAAGTAACATCCAGGTGGTAAACAGATCAGCCGGTCAGTCAGTTTCATGCTCAATCTGTCAGCATCTTACCACTTCGTCTCCCATGTCTCCGTTGATCCTGTGGGAGCCGGCGTGCTGCTGATTCTCCAAGCGGCTCCATAGCTCCTGCACTTGCTTCTTCAGAGTCTCCACCTCCATCTGGTGTCCCGCCTCGATCTGCCTCAACCTCTGTTGGATGGCATCTGTGTGCAGCGTCAGCCCGTCGTCGTCCAGATGGCTGCGGGATGGCTGCTCCGGGCTGATGGCAGCCCGGCTTAGCAGGGCGTGGCACCAGCGGTGCTGGGAGCAGCTGCCCCGCGGATGGAGGATCAGGGAGTTGCAGCTTGCTAGGGATACCTGTCGACTAAGAGGGGCCTTCTCCCCATTCCCTTTTGCCCAGTGAGGTCCTCCGCAGGGCTCCGCCTCTGAGCTGTCGCCGTTACACAGCCCATCCCTGCTGAGGTCAGCACTCACAGATTGAAAGGCACTGACAGAGGGTCGCTTGCTGCCCCCATTTAAAGTTCTGATAAAGCCATGCTCGCCTGTCTCCAGTCCTTTCTCTTTCCTGGAGCAGGGCAGTTGGCTCCTGTCGTCACTGCAGGGCTGACGACTTGGACAAACAGGCGGCTGAGCTGGTAGCTCCAACCTGCCGCAGGCCTCTTCAGTTAAAGTCTCTGTAGAGCTTTCCATCAGGGAGGCCCTCTTATCCAACTGCTCCCCCGGCTCTGAGACACCGTGGTCAGACTCAGAGTCAGGGCAGGTCTCCTCATCTACACCTGGCTCTTCAGGTGAGCTGTCCACAAAGCCGTTAGTTATAGTTCTGTGGGCTTTAGGCTGCTCTGGCTCACCTGAGCCAGACTCACTTGGCCCATGTGCAAGCTCCTCTTGTACAGAAGAGTTCTCTACATCCTGCTTCACCAGATCCTCTGGTGTCTGAGTCACCTCAGCTGTCTGTTGATTCAGCTCCTCTGCCTTCTGTGTGGGGAGAGGGGGAGACTCACCATCCACCTCCTCCTTCTCCATTACGCCATTTTCTGGATGGTGACCATTGGCAAATGCTTCTCTCTGGGTCTCAGTCCCATTGACCTCAGCACACTGATCATCCTTCTCAATGTTTGCTTCTTCCTCCACCTCTCTGTCAACAGTGTTATTGACATGTGTGACAGCAGCACTTCCCTCTTTCTGAACATCTGCTCCCGCCTCCTCCTTAGTGGCCTCCTGAAGGATGTTCTCCATCTGGCCCTCGGCCATGCCCACAGCAACAGAGAGCTCTGCCTCCTCTGCTTCCTCTCCTGTTTCTGCTGGGCTCACAGAGGTCCCCTGTCCGAGCTCAGCGTGTGAGCCCTGGGGCTGCGGGCTGTCGTCCAGCTCAGAGTCCGCTCCATCTGGGTATGGCCCCACTCCGTTAGGCCGCACCTCCTGATCCTGGTTGCCCCCCTCCTTCGGGCCCCACTGCCATGTTGAGCTCCAGAGAGCGCCGGTGGTCCTGCCATTTCTCATTGAGGCTCGGGTCACTGGAGCGGCGGTTAGGAGCCAATGCGCTTCCCAGCTCACATGCACTGGGCAAGTTGTCGAAGGAACGAGTCTTTGTACGTCTGAACAAGAAACAAGAAGAATTATGCACGGAAAACAGCATTTCATTACATAACAATGGCTCAGTGTTTGACACCCTGTGATTCAATCTGTAGCTGCACACATACCACAAAATATTTAGTTAACAAAACAATCACATCAGCCTCATCAAAACAAGAAACATGCCACACAAATATGAAAGAGAAGCATTCAGACATTGTCTCTATAATTCAGAGCTACTGTATCTGTCATAAACTATGTCAACATTGAAATGAAACAACTTCCTGTTGCTCTTCCTTGATGGTATGACTGTCACAAGACACAAGATAAGCAGAGCATAAAACAGTATCTGTGGCTGTGAGGACCCAATCAGAGCAAAGTATCTAAGCAGTGGAGTTGAAAAGCCAGGCGCCTCTGGCTGTGGGAGTTATTGACCCGTGTTCATCTTACATGAGGGAGGAAGAGAGGGGGGGTCAGGTGCCAGCGCGCCAGGCTCACCTGGCCAGGGGCGTGTCCTCAGGATTGCCACCAGGCACAGGATACGGGGCGCAGGAGTCATCAGAGGGGGTGGTGGGGGAGGAGCTGGGCAGGTAGACCGCCGTCCACAGCATCAGGTTGCGTACGTGACACACTGGGTGCAGAACCTGCAACAACAGCTGCAAACTTAACTCAGGGTGTAATCAGAAGACTGAGATAGAAACGACAAATAGTGGTAGAAAATATTCTTGAACTATATCTTTAAAATTTGGATTATGTGGAAAAAATTAATCAGTAGAACGCAAATTAATTCTGAGAATATGATTTTCCCCTCATGGTAAGTGGACAATATTTATGGCCATGACACACACGCCCACACACACAGAAATGCAAACACCAAAACAACAGTAACCACAAAAATGTAATTCTCAGAAGGGTGGCAAATAGACTCCTAAATCAAGTTTGAGACAATAACAATTAGCAATAAATCTAAAGAGACAGAATGAAATAAATAACTGCAGCTCATCTTTCGCATAATGCATTTGCTGTCTGAACCTGTAGGATTTGGAAACCCAGGCCTGCAGAGGCTAGATTCCATGTCTTCTTAATTAATTCCACTGATACATTTTCTTCAACATCTTTAACTGCTTTCATCCTTTGTCTTGCTGTTTGTAAATACCTTTTTGAAAAATGCTTCAGAAAATATTTTGTTAGGTTAATAATTTTACATTCATTACATTTAACCAGAACAACTTTCTAAAGGACTGAACACAGGGACAGACGGTGGACGTACAGTCTCGGAGTGGGATGAGTAGAGCATGTTCCTCAGAGTGCGATTGGCCGGTCTAAGCAGCGACCACACTGAGCAGGTCCTCTCCTGAACGTGGCGGTCCTCCCTCTCCTTACCACTGTTGCACAGGAAGGTGCCGAATAGACAGGAGTAGGTGTGCTGAACCAGTTTCACCTACACACACACACACACACACACACACACACACACACACACACACACACACACACACACACACACACACACACACACACACACACACACACACACACACACACACACACACACACACACACACACACAAATTGACATGTAGAGGCTTGTATACAAACCTCAGGTATGATAATAAGCAGAGATGACAAGAGTTTCTTCATACAACTCATGAACACACCCAGACTGTAAGTGCATATCAGTGGCACACAATAAGAAGAATCAGAGACATGCCACATGCCATATTCCACTTCTGTACTTCAACATTCCCAAGAGTCTAGTCTAAGAATCTGAGCAGATTCAGACTTTGCAATAGTTGTGTTTGACTTCAGACATCAAACGTGTACGCACCAGGAAGGCCTCATTAAACTCAAAGGAGCATGGGAACTGCCTCTGCAGTTGGTGAACACAGTCCAGCCACTGCAGGAAGACTGGGCAGCGTTCGTTAAGGTCCTCAGAGTTTTCTCCATGGCCGCATCGGTCAGCAAACTTATGGCCAAAGTCCAGCCACTCAGTCTCCACCAAAACCTGGAAGCCCTGCACAAAGATGTCACAAGAGCTTCAATAAAATACTGTGTCACAGTGGCGTGTTAGAAAAACAACACTGTTTTGTTTTGTTTTACATAAAAACAACTTATGTCAAAATAAAGTAAAGAAATCTTTTTTTCTGTTGAAATTACAAAAACAGTTATTACATGATGTCAATGTTGCTTTTCATGGGAATGTGACCCCAAAATAAAAACAAAAAAATGCTGTTAAAATCTGTACCTCAATAGTGCGGTAGTAAGGGTCCAGCAGCAGCTTGGACAAAGCAACAATCTGAGGTGTCCGGTCCCAGCCGTCAGAGCAGTGCACCAGGACAGGCCTGTGGTCTCGGTCCACAGCGTTGACCACTAGCAGTGCCGCCTTCAGCAGCAGAGACAGATGCTGCAGCCACTTGGTGCTCTCCAGTGCAGAAAGCCAGCTGCAGAGACAAAGACAGCAACAGAGCAAAAACATCAGAAGACCTCATATGCCCCAGACACTAAGTGATGGCACATGTTTTATAAGGACCAGTACATAGCATGGACCAGCGCCACATACTAGAATATTTATAGCCTCAGCTAGTTTGCAACCCGTCAACAACTTCATTACGATTTGTACAGTTAAGGGCAAAATCATTATGTAAATGTTATTTCAACCGTCTAACTATTTTTTAGCTCAAAATTTCAAAAGTGGTTAACAAATTAAAGGTTGGTAATTATAGTTGATTTCTTGGCTACTTGGGGGCAGCAGAAACAAGTTTAAGTTTACAAAACAAACTTATTAGCAAACTAATTTACGCATCCAGAAGTTACAGAGCAACATTAGCATTCATTAAGAGTTTTGTCAATGAATGACATTATCTGGATACAAATGTAGGCAACTGTTTATTAATACAAAAACAGCTTTACACGCTAGCAGCTGTGATGTTTGGCAGGTTTTCTACTCCTAGTGGCCACAAACTGATTAATGCCGCTTTAAAATGCAGGTGTTTGGTAACATTTAGGAAATTACTTTTGGATAAGGGTTATGTAATAATTCAAAACATTACATGACCAGTGGGACTCATGCATACACCTTGACCTACTTCAGTTATGAGTAAATGTTTCACTGTCTTATCTCGATTATTATCCTAAGCGGTGTGTTTTGTTTATCTACAAACCTGGAGCGTCTGGGACAGAGACAGACAAGTCTGTGACCGATTTTTTTAAGTCAACAAGTGAAATGTATCAGCAGTAATAATTTGTAAACTGATACAAATTACGTTTAACTTTTGAAAAATCTGAGAAATAATGAGAAATTGGTCTAACCTGCTGTTTTTGGCATAAACACTATACAGTCTGTGCAAAATACTCTTCAAGTTGTTTTGAAATAAAGAAGCCCACTGTATGATCATGTTTATACAAAGTTATTTTTCAGAGTCTGTTTTTGTCTTCTGGTCTCCTAACCACTTTCAACAACGTTCTCTTAAGTCAGCGTGATTCAATTACACATCATTGTAGCACCGAGTCTGGGAGTGCAGATGGAAAGAGATCCTCCACTTGGGGTTGGGCCAGGCTTTCTAAATCAGGCACAGATGTATAGCCAAGGCCAAAACACAGCTGTGATTACTAGTTACCTACAGTTACTACGGCAAAGCTTGAGAGCTTTAGATTTAATAGTTTTAGCCTGCAGAGTTTAAGAGTTACGACTAGGGGAACTGGAGGCACTGCTGGAGGCATAAAAAAAAAAACATACTTGGCTGGATCAGGCATCTGAGTGCAGAGGAAACGCAGAGACTGGAAACTCTTGCGGATGGAGTGGATGTTGGCCATACCCATAAACACCACCTCACAGTTGGGATAGTACTCTGAAACAGGAGGAAATCAATTGTTAAAAAGGTGAGAAAAGAAAAACTTGTTTTAATTTTAGCATCAGCAACAATCGCATTTGTGGTTAACTGAGCTCCTGAATCCACATCAAACATTGACCTAATTCTGCTTGTCACCTGGGCCTGCACTAAGAAGACCTACCTGGGCATTCGCAGCCTCCCCCCTTGGCCCTGTTAGCTACGGCAGCAGCGTAGGACCTGGCGTCCAGGATCAGTAACTTGTGGGGCTGGATGGCCAACGTCTCCACCTCTGAGCTGTTAGTTATTGAGGATTCTGATACAGACACAAAACGCACCAAAGATTTTTTTTAGTACAATTCAGGTTGTATGAAACTAGGGCTGGGGATTGGGACAGTTGAAATCATGATCAAAAAGTCAATAAATCATTAAGACCATTAATGTGTTTTATCCAGGAACATCCATCAGAATCTGTTTGACATTAGAGGTTAATGTGATCTGTGTGGTTCTGTATAAGCCTGATGATTCACACAAGCCCCAACAGGTTTGACTGCACTGCTATTCATTCAGACAGCAAGACCTCAGCGTGGAAATATCTGTGGGTGTGGGTGTGTGTGTGTGTGTGGTAGAAGGTGTGTGTTCAGCTGGAAGTGTGTGTTTGTGTGTGGGCGTGTGCGGTATGTCAGTGAGTGAGTGTGAGCTCTTACCAAAGTCAGTATCAGGCAGGTCGGAGCCGTTGGTGTAGCTGCCGTTGGAAAGGTGTTTGCGGGAGCTGCTGTCCACGGCGCAGGCCTTGGCGATGGACTGGACAAGGTGCTCGTCATCGGCGTTCCTCCAGCCCCACCAGCTGACCTCTGGCTGGCCACAGCGGGCAATCACAGCCCCTGTGGTCTGGTGCCTACGTGGAGGGGAGAAGTTAGCCGGAATACAACATTTATCAGTCTACCTATTCATTGGATCCATCATTCTTATGTATGTTGCATTTTTGTGACTTTTTTCAAATGTTTTTTATCAATAGGTTACTTTTAATCTTAAAAAAGAAAAAAATTATTAGATTATCAACGTTGTTGCAGATTAATTTGTCAATCAATTAATAGCTCTAAAAAACTATCTAATAAAAAACTCCAAGAATGACTGATACTTTGGTTGAACTGCTCAAAATCAGATCTATCTGTCAAAAGCAGACCATGTCCCATTTACATAAGCCAAAGAGGTTGGAACCACTGGCTTTGCTAATTTTACCGCCACGAAAACAAACTTTTGGCACACATTTATTTCAGGTACTGTGACGCACGAAACGGACATACAAGGCTGCCACTTCTGGTCGGAGTAGTTTTCCAAAAACAAGGATCACAGGCTTCCAAGCGCTGTTCGATAAATACAACAACCACAATTCACTGAAGCCATGACGCAGTGTATGTCATTGGTTAAGTCAGTGGTCTTGGCCATGTTGACAAAGTCTGAATAGAGGCAAATAGAGAAATGTAGCCTGGAGGGAATTATCCATTAGTAATTAGCTGTATGTTGTGGTTTTCTAAGCCAAAGTAAACTGTCCACAGTGGCAGTGATACGGAGTCATAAAGATATTATCTGAAGATGGTTTTATTAATTTCACAAAAAAATGACCATTCAGCACATAAGAAAGTTTTTCATTGCTGCGTGGCAGTAAACAAGTTTAACCTTCTGCCTTGAAACAAACACACCAACCTATAAACCACAGCAGGAAACCTCTTCCAGGAGCGGAAGGCTGCCACATTTTCCAACTCCTTGTCAGTGATCCAGGCTGGCACCAAGAGCTGCTGAGGATAGCTGGGGCAAAGCCTGGCAGAGCAGAAGGGCATAGAGAGCAACGCTTTAACAAAGAGAGAGAGAGAGAGGGAGCACCAAAGGGCTCTGATGGCTCAACAAAAGTCTCTGTCTACAGACACCTAATCCTGGGCTGGGCTCTTATCGGCCCAGGGCACAGCACCAGTGGAGTACAATAACACAACCACCCACTGTCTAACACACACACACACACACACACACACACACACACACACACACACACACACACACACACACACACACACACACACACACACACACACACACACACACACACACACACACACACACACACACACACTCTGACTTGTGCTGTATGCCAATGAAAGCAAAGGACGGCTCTATCTTCTAGCTGGGAGTGACGGTATTACCGGAACTTGCTGTTGATGTCAGATATCCTCCAGGCGTTTTGAGTGTCAAAGCCCATCCTCTCCACCTCATTCTTGAACCAGGAGGTCACGTGTTCGCCTGCAGACAGAGCAGAGATGTCCGATAAGACCAGAGAGGAGCAGAGGTTCGGCTGGGGTTACGTGGGGATATGCGAGAGACGCGAAGGTACCTGGTCTGCACAGCTCGCCGTGCTGCTCCTTCTCACCGGCATACACGTCCATGCACCAGGCGTGGAAGGCGAAGGAGAAGAGGTCCTCGAGGCGAGAGGGAGGGCGCACTACTGTATTGAGGCGTTTCAACCATTCCTGACACTGCTCAAAGGTGGAGAACTGACACCTGGAGATCAAACACAAAAGCCAAAGTTACACCTTCAACGTGCTACAAAATATTATTAGGACGCAAGGATGGTACTCTAAAAAGACCTTGCAATACCAATACCTACTACTTAAAAGTCAAGCCAATACTTGCCTGAACTGTTATTCTTTTTTGTGGAAAGCACCAGATTATAAATCACTATCTGTGTAGAGCTCTCTAAATGGCCTTACTTAAACGCTACAGGAAACACTGTCAATTTTGTAGCTAAATAGGTGTTAATGTGGTCTTGCAACTATTTCTTTTAACTGCTGCTGATTACTCCTGTTGTTTCTCTACTTGTTTTTTTTTTTTTTTTTTTTACTCTTGCTTTACTCATTTTACACTCTAGCTAGCTGAAACTCACTGAAGTGCTGTAAATGTTAGTTTGAACTGCTCGCTGCTCTCCTTTGATGTGTGACTGACAGTCATTAGTTGACAGTAATTAGTGTTGACACAAAGTGACAACCTGACGTATGTTGAATGTTGAGAAGTGATGAACTGTTACAGGTCAAATATTTGGTGGATGCAAAACTTCCACAGAGCAACGGTGCAGCAACTGTATGGTTTGAATTTGTGAGGCTGAGCAAAGAGTCTTTTCCTAATTAATTGTGAAATGGCAGTGATCTTTTTTTTCTCTCTTTTTTTTTTTTTACTTACACATATTTTACTGTTACAGCCATTGGGTGCAAAATTCAATAAACAGCCTATATCCATCATCCTTCTATCGCTCTGTTGCAAATATGGCACAAAGCTTGTTTGGTCATTTTTGGGGTTGTTGAATTGATTAGATGCGTGTGACAAAAAAGGTGTTCTATTCCACGGGTGTATTGATACACCATCAGTGTTCAGCACAAACAAACTTAATTTCGTTTTTTTATTGGGTTGAAGTAGGTGAAGCTGCTCTGCTGGTTTAGGTCATTCTGGGTTCATCTCGGTCAAACATACAGTTTATGACTGTAGGATTCCTCTGTTACCTTTAAATGTGTGTCACGTTAAAGTGTTGCCATAGCAACCTTGCATATACCATCCTGCACCTGGACTTCAGTGAGAAATCCAAGAACTGGTGATTTTCTGTTGTTATTCAATGTTTGTCATGTATTCCTACATTTATATATGGAAGAAACATGATTCTATACCTTTAACAAAGAGGAGGTTGGTGGAATGACTTTAGGTTGCAGGAGTGTGTCACTGGTCATACCTGACAACTTTGCAGTCCTTACAGGTGACATGAAGCTGGAACATATCCCGACACTCAGCGCACTCTATGAGCTGAAGAGGAACCTGTGGAGAAAAAGAAGAGGGAACATTAACACTACACTCAGTCAAACTGATGGAAATGACATATTGAGCATATCAGAAATGTATCAACCAAACACATGCAGTCAGTATAAGCAGTGCAGTAGACTGCAACCCACAATCCATTTAGCCAATTAGTGATGGTCAACACGATAAAAAGGTTTTTCATGCCAAGAATCAGCCACATGTGCTCCAACATCACATGTTAAGTTCAAATATTTAATTTATAAACTAGACCACCATTCATCCACATGGGGCTAAAAATATGTAAGTCACACAGATTATTTGTCCAGGTGCATTTCCATTAATTTTTCACATCACATCTCCCTGAGCTCTCTTAATATGCATAATCTTCTTAAGTTAAGTATGGGCGGACAAAAACACACAATACTAGATTGTCAAGAGCTTGTATCTGCATTTCCCTTTTGGCCCAGAGCTACAGTCTTATCGTTCATAGGCAAATACCATCCAAAGTACAGAACTGCCATGTGCTTATGACTTAAGAGCATACTTTGAATACTGCAGGGAAATAGCTATGCTGCTTTTGACTAAGCTCTGTTAATTAGTAAAGAGCACTTTTCAGCAGCACAGTGGGCTTTCATAAAAAGGCGTGGCTCAAGCTTCTGTTCACACACAGCCCGGAGCCATGCACGATCTGCAGCCACTCATCAGCAGATCAAGCACCCAATAAATGAGTGCAATGACAGGGTAACTGCCTGATGGCAGCTTGAATTCTTTGTGCAGATAGATTATGAACACTCATATCTTTTCATCACGTCTACCTTAATCCAGCATCTGTTGTTAAACAGGATGAACAAGCAGGGTTCTACTCCTCTAGGCACCAGCCGGTTAACAGACAGGCACACACAAATGATACACTCAAGTCAACCACTCCACACCGTGCAGCTCTGCTGGGTACTTACTGACACCTCACAACAACAACTCTATCCAAAGAGAGAGAACAATAATCAAAGTGATGCATGTCGATTTGTGACTACTGTCTGTCTGTGTATGGGTGCTATCGCAGCACATTCCGGATGTTCGAGCATCCCGCTGCCACAATTTAATTCCTGCCCTCTAATCTACATCCCTAATCTGGCCACCATCAAAATTCCTCGGCTGCTTGTTAACAGCCTCTTGCTCTCTTGCAGCACTTCCCACCCCTGATTTGTGAGCTCTGACAACTCTGCCATGTGATGCAGATGCCTCATCAACCCGTCCAAATATGTGTGAGGAAAATGTTGGCTCTGTCTGATGTGAGCAGAGAGAGGTGGCATGTCAGCCAAAACCAGAGGGTCATTCAGGTCCAATTAACCCTGACAACACGTGACAGGTAGCCAGTAGACACTCATATGAATGCAACCAACAGAACCATTGAATACATTATATAGATAGGTTAGACATGAAATACTGCAGCCACCAGTGGGGCATCATTTGATTTATCTACTGCTGGTACCAATACTAAAATTATTTTGATACCTTACTAGGAACATAAACAAAACAAACATACAACAACTGTCATTAAATAAAGTACTGTTGAGAACCAGGAACTACCTGATCAAAGAACAATTAGGATTTCAGATCTGACCAGACTTTTTTTTACTTTGGTACTACACATTTCAGGCAGTTAAAAAAAAGTATTGAGGTTCAATGAATGTTGCTAGCCTTATCCTTAACATTAATTAATTATTGTCAACAAATCCATGAAAAGACCAAAACTAACAAGTTCGTCTCTCAATACTCTCTGACTTCTATTAGCTCTCATTGGGTCTTACTGAAGACAAAAATCTTTCAAGAACCATCTGGAATATAAACTTTCATTTTTAGGAAGGCTCAGTAATTTCCTAAAACAGATGTGGACAATAGTTTTAGCAAATGTTACTCAAGCGGGAGGATATTTGGTGCATTTTTAGATTTTGTGCACTATTGAGCGTTTATGGTAGCAGGGCGGTGGGACTGGCTCCAAATAAACAAGACTGGCTGTGTTCAAGTTGTCACCCAGCTCAACTGCGTGTCTCACAGATTCATTTTTAATAGTTGACCATACTTGTTGACAGGATCAATTCATTTTTGGCTTTAGTCTCAGTATCATCAGAAGTCTCCTTTAAAAATGAGTGAAGTATATTTTTGAAGAAAAGGAAGTGAAAAAACCAAGCTTTCCCTGTTTGTCATTGCACAACTTTCCCGCGGTCACATATCAGCAGCAGAGCAGCTAGGTGATCTGAACATAGCATATGTTTTTCTTAAGGCATTAGAGCGAGATTTTTTTGGTCAAATTATGAGAAATACTATTTGTGGATTAAAAACGTTCATAGAATTGCATGTTAGCAAACTATCATAACAACAGAGAATACAATTATTATATTTAAATGTATGTATGCATGCATTACGTGTATATGTGGGGTGACTCTAGGTTGTAATGAGCCTGTCTAGTAGCAGGAGTATAAACAAAACTCTGTTGAAAATAAGAAACCATAGTGCAGTGAACCATCTTTGCAATGGCAAATGGAGGGTTTTTTTTAGAAAGTGACCACACTTGGGTAACAAAGCTAGTCTCTCTTTCTTAACGTGGTGAAAAGAGACAGAGAGGGAGAGAGAGGGCGCGACTGTTATGCATCCCCTCTGGAACCACTGCAACCAAGGCAACGGCAAGTGCAGAGAGAAAGCGGAGCAGGCGGGCAAGTGTAGAAACAGAGGCGATGAAGAGTCACGCGGTACTGCTGCCAGTGCAGATCAGCTCTGAATGGCCTGGTCACCACAGCGCTGGCACAATGGCCCCAGCTCTGTCCATTCACAAAACATTAATACACACTTTCACACAGCCTCCAGTAGAGACAATGTAGTTCACTCTTTAGTTATTTAAAGCTGTGTTTCTCTAATCGTATTCTCTGACTTCATTGGTTACCTCTCAAAAATACTTACGTTGACAACGGACTCTTTGAACTTGATGTGTAGGCGGTAGTTGGACGTTGCGATGATGGCGTCCTCTGCTCTCCCCACATACTCTGTGAACTCCCCGTGCAGCTCAGGAAAGGGCACCTAGCAACAGCAGGAGATAAAACATTTTAGACAAACTGCAGCAGAGCCACAGACCACCAGTGATGATGATATATGCACAGAGGGCTGTGGTATGATAGATTATTTCATTAGATATGGTCATCATGACTACTTGTATTGTACTGCTTGTTCGTTTCTGCAGCAGTCATGCAAAATGAAAAATTTCACAGGTAAAGTTTTAAACTGTAAACTGTAGGTCCCTTTTCCATAACCAACTAGCAACTTCTTCTGCTTCATGCTCCCTGGAAGGGGAGCGTGAAGCAGAAGAAGTGTAGAAAAAATAAAGTGGCTTCAAAAAAAAAAAAAAAAAAAAAAAAAAAGCCCCTATCTAGAGCCAGTGTTTGGTTTGTCCACTCTGGGCTCCTGTAGAAACAAGGAGATTCAACATGGCGGACTCCATGGAAGGCATCCGCAGATAAACATGGCTCATTCTAAGGTAACAAAACCCATTCCTATATTCAGGTGAATATACACTAATGAAAACATACCTATGAATTTTATGTAACATGCTGGACCTTTAATGAAATCTTTGTTTTTCTCAACATAGACCGTAAAATAAGTTTGTTTTTATTTTCAGATTATAGGGCTACACTTCACTTGACTTTTGAGCTCCTGAGACCGGTCAAACTGAAAGTGAGCTTAAGTCACATGTGACTTAAAGGTGGTTATGTAACTGATTACAGAGACTCGCCCACACATTACTGTCAGGGGAACTGGGTTTCTTTTACAGCATGAGATAAGCAGCAAGGGCAGCGGCTTCCTCACCTGCATGTTTTCCTCCTCTAGGACGGGGGACTTCTTGGGGAAGATCTGATTGGCCTGGATACACTCCAAGCTCTGCTGCCCCTCCTCCTCCTGCAGAGAAAATGCTTGTTAACTGAGTCTTTACTGAACTAGTCTTGACTTTAACAACCAAAAGCTTCTCTCACGTGTTTGTTTTAATATGGCTTTCGAAACTTTTGCCAAGTATTTCTTTATTTATCACTCTGCTCCTGTCACACACTCACATTTACAGCTTTGACCACTAAGCTGCTCTCAGGAATTGTCTGGGGTGTTGAAAAACATACTCAATCACCTTTGTAGTAGTTGTGACAGAGAGTTGATTTAAAGCCAACTTGACAGTGCTGTATTTATGCGGCTGCCTTTTCCTTCCCACCCCCACTGTAATGTGCAACCAAGGCTAATTTACTATAATCACCCGTTGTACAACAAGATATGGTATAACCGATGCCAGTAACATACAGTGCTCTAAAACTGGAAATACACATGGTAATTAATTTACACAAGACCCTGAAAAAATACGAGAGCAAAAATCTAATTTTTGGTTGGCAAAATCAAATTATGAGCATTTCTGTTTAAAGGCAGTTCCCACCACCAGTCTGTAGCCTTTCATGAGGGCCGAATGTTTGAGGTCACAGTGCACAAGATGAACATATTTCACAGAGAATGAATCAGTGGGGAATGTGAGGCATGGATATACAAGCGGATTCAGGGATTTTTCCTCAAGGGCAAACTGGTGGAAAAAAATGTCTGGCCTTGTGCTGACAGAGATCGGCAGGGATCTATGGGCTGTGTGTTTGGTCAGAAGTCCGAACAGTGTGCAAAGAAAGATTAAGGTGGTCGAAAGAGATGGAAGATAACGGACAGCAACGGCACATCCTGTGGGATGCTGGCTCAGCATGAGCGGAGCTGATACACAGGCGCCGTGGCTTGAGGAGCACACACTGTTCAACAACCAACAGCAGTTATGTCATGATGCAACAACACAACATAAAGTTCTGCAGTGAAAACCGAAAGCTGCCCCGCTTAGGCAGCAGCCTCGGAGGACCTTTGACCCTGTTGCAGTGGATGTAAGTGTCTGCTTCCTGATAAACAGAGCTGATTAATAGTTCAAATCAATAGAGAGTTTCCAATTCGGCACACTGCACCCAGGCCACACCGCAGTTACTGCCCGAATCATGCATGAACTGAAGGTACTTTACCATGGCCCCTGAGAAGGAGTGTGGGTCACCCAACGAGGAACTCCGGCCTGGACCAGTCTGTACAAAGAGAACACAGAAAGCTGAGAAATAATTCTGATAGAAAATATGTAAATTATATATGATGCGTTTAAGTCAATATCTTTAAAACACAAAACAGCCATCATCTTACATGTGGTCTGATCAAATTTCAAATTTAGATCTTCTTGTTTTCTCCTCCAGCCTGTGGTGAGCCATTGTGCAATTGTAAAATATGGAGCAACATCTATAGAATTCATGATGGAAATACTATATTGCCTTTTCTGACAAAGTCGCACTATCAGCACTGATTTCAGGTCAGTTTAGGTCATTGTGAAACTGCCTTTTTCTTGCCACAAAGCTTATTTTGGGTGGGCATCAATATTAACGATTGGTTTTTGAAGTTCAGTTGGAAAGGAATTTAAGGTTCAGTTGTTCAAATCAGTAGGTCACCATTTTATCTGTCAGGTTTATCTCATACAACAAGTGTTAATGGACAGTCTTGGACAGCAGGTTTGCTGACAATAACTAAGAAACTAAACCTTCATTACTTTTAAGGTTTACGCCATCAATCTGGGAGACGGTTAGTGTCCCACAATGTAAACACATGTTTACTCGTAGTGGCTGAGGGGTTAAGGCACCAACCACAAACTACAATGTCTCTGGTTCGATTCCGGCCGGGGACCTTTGTTGTATATTTTGACCCATCTCTCTCTCCTCATTTCCTGTCATCGCTCTACTGTCTACCCTCAAATAAACAAAAACAAAAAAATGCCCCAAGACATACTTAAGAAATACATGTTTAGCATATAAACAATGTAATTCCAGTATTGTTTTTTCAACAAATGCCTTGCTAGCCCGCATCAAAAGAGTCTCATCTATCAGATCACAGCTTCTACTGTTAATGAAATGACAAACAAAACTATCTTTTCTTAACTTTTTCAAGGAGCTAACAACAAAACGTTAGAGGGAATGGCTGAATTTTGAAGGCCGATCCAACTGCTGGCCTATTGTATTGGTGATGTTGTACGCAAGCATCAGGATGTGTACATACTTTCTCAGGGAATGGGTTTAGGCAATGAACTGACTGTAGCCCATGATCGACCATGAGATTGTGAGCCCCTGGTTGGGCAGTCAGACATTCAATAGCAAATCAATTCAACATGAAATGGCACAACAAGGGGAGGCTTGGCCAGCAACAGCAGGATTTAGGCCTTCAGTAAGGCTTATATTCAGTCGATTGCATCAAATGTAGTAAAGAGGGACAGAAACACCACCGCCACAGCAGATGATTCAAAAACTAATATATCTATCAGACTTACCACAGACAATCAGTAACGGACGATGAGCAGTCCTGATGATCCTGTTTGGAAACTCTCACAAGTAAGACATGGAAATCTGTGAAAATGAAGGCAAACATGTACCTGAATAATGAGCAAATGCTTTTCCTTACAAACTTGTCTATATTTTGCAAACAGCAGACTTTTTCTCTGAGACATTCAAGCTACAGAAGCTCTTTTGATTCCCTTGCAAATATAGCTGTACTGGTGGTCACAGCGGCTTGAATGTGAGCTCAGAGATACCACTTAAACTCAGTTGTGGAATGGAAAAAAAGTCAACTGCATCTACAGTCTAGCCAGCATACAGACATGGTTCAGTCACGTGAACTGCTCATCTAATGTTCACCTTCAGAAATAAACAAGAACACGCAATTCATACAATTTTAAACATGTGCTGCCGTGTCTTCAGGTCAATACAAGCTAATGGAAAGTGTTGCAGATGGGCTAGTGTGAAAGAAACGTTATTAATGGTTAAACCACCCAACAATGGTTGGTCACCTGCCCAAATGGCTGGTCAAGCACACATACTTGGCAGAACCAAACACTTCAGAGGACTTGGCCTGATGGATGGTAGTAATTCCCTGCGCAGTGTACAGTCGGAACAGCTGAAAAATGCCAGCCACCAAGAACATGATTAGATACCTACTTTTTTTGTTAAACAATCTTTAAGTGATATCACCTAACATCTCTTTTCAGAACAGCCAACCTGTTAGGGATCTCTCTGGCCCACAAATAGTTATACGGTCAACTACCCTTTGCAGAGACTGAAACATGACCCGAGAAGGTCAGTGAATGAGAAGAATGAGAAGGACCTCAACACTGGAACATTTAAGTAAAGGTGGCTGCCTAGGGTCAAAAACAAGACAAAGATCCCATAGCACCAGTGGCAGAGGAGGGCCGGAGGACCGCAGCACCGTCCGGTTGTTGAGAGTGGTGTGAAGAGGCCAGGAGAGGTCATTACCTCACTGGCCGAGTCCGGGTCCAGCTTTTACTGCTGGTGCTACCTGATAAAGCATATCTGCCACACACACACACACAGGGCTCTGTTTACTGCAGCGGGCTCATAACCCGTGGCTACGGCTCAGTTCTGAGTACAGAGGCACACAGGGAAGGCTAAGCCCCTTAGAGTCTTGACGTTACTCCTATCCCGTGACAGGCCACCATGCATCATAGGCTGTAACATTATAAAGCAAATAGCCCCAATCTCCTAACTTACGTTAGCTAGTTTCAAACAGAAATGTTGACTGTGGCAATTAACTGCAATTACTGAGTTAGCCTGACTACGCTGACAGCCAGGTAGTAATACTGACCTGAACAGCAGCACTAAAAAAAGGGATTAACTCACATAAAAGCATATGTGTCGGTTAACTTTGTGTCTGTAAAAACACTAACAGATTCCCGCTAGCGTAATGTTAACGTTATGATTTCACTTTCCAATTGTAACCTTAACAAACGCTAGCTAAAATGTTTACGTTATTTCCACTAAGCTAGCATTAGCAGAGGAATTAAACGCAACGTTGGCAAGTACAAAATAAACTACAACCCTCCAAAAAACACACCGAACTATTCTGAATGGTTATCTTAGTGAGTGTTAGCGAGGGCTGCGCGACATAACGCTAACAACTCACGTTATACAGAAATCCTTTATTAGCAGGTAAAAGTCCGTAACGTAGGTAACGCTATGCTAAAAGGTTTGTCTGTATAGATAACTAACCTCATCAGTAGACAAAAGTAACTAGCTAGCTAGCGGTAACATTACTTTCGCTCATCCTTCTCTTTGGGTAACGTTAAGCTAACTTAGATGTTCTGCAGCTAGCAAACGTCAATACTTCACCAAGAGTAACACGTCCACAAAGTAATGCTAGCAAACTAACGCTTACACCAAAGTGGATGTTTGGATTTCAATGAGCCGACATTAACATTCAGTATTAAGCAGTATGCTGTTGTGTTGCAATCTCATAGTACTCGGTGTTTGCCATTAGTAACTGTGAGCAGCCAGTAAGCTGGCTAGCTAACATTAGCTGGTGGAGCTAGCGCAGCTCTCTGTACTGTTTTTGTTGTTATGAGATGGAGGGCGGAACCCAAAACGGAGGCCTCTGTCAAAACACACCGATGAACGACCACAACCGGCGGACTCACCAGGGAAAGGAGCGCTGAGAAGTTAGCAGCCAAAGATTCATCCGAAGCCCGTGCAATTACTAAGCAGCAAATAGACCTCGATCAAATAAACATTAGTCATATCCGAGCCGAGGCCAGCTTCACTGCGTCCCTTTCCAGCACCGAGCCGTCGTCGCCATCGTCGCGAATTCTCCAGCCCAACAACCTACGTAAGTCTGTGACGTCATCGCGTCAGAGCGATGCTCTGGTCAGGGGAGGGGCTCAGACACACCATGCGGTACGATCATGTAAACACTGGACTGCCCGAATACATATATAGGCTAATGGACATTAATGATAGTGAATGCAACCCGAGTGAAGACTGTTAATGAAGCAAACAATGTGGAAATGACTCTAACTAGTTTAGCATATAGTACATTCTGTTTTAGATTCATACAATATTACATACACATATTACAGCAAATGACAGTGGGGTTTGATAGCTTGGTTTTTTTTTTTATAGATGTACGTTTATTAATTTGTGTGCATTCAGCTGCACTTTGGGAGGGAGGGGGGAGGCATTCCTAACCATAAAGAAATAAAAACACAACACAGCAGGATCTTAAACAATTATGTATTGAATGATGGCTTACATATGCAAATTCAATTCCAAGACGCTTGGTATACCTTTGTCCATTCTTAAACATTTAATAGCCTGACATGTGTGAGGCATTAGACAGTAATTTACGCCTGCAGGACACTTCTCTTTATTGGCTCACAGCTGACTTTCAAATGAAGAATTTTCTTTGTGATAAACCCTCAGTGGCAGAGTTGTAAATATTGTTTCTATATTAACAACTATGAACACAATCATTCGAATTTTGCTCACCAATTACCTCATTATTTAGTGACAAATGTCAATTATAAAATAAAACCATCTAATGTGTAGGGCTCGTTACAAAAAGCTTAGCTTTTTTTCTGAACTGGGCTACCCTACACTCCTATTAAATCACACTTTACCACTAGGCATTAGTCCTGTGGGGATAATGCATGAGGCATATGATATGGCACAAAATAATCTTGATTTAAATATTTACCTGGAAGTGATGTTTACTGGGTCGTTATTGGGTTCTGATTTGCCGGGTTCATGATGACTTTGTGAGAGCCAAATTTATCAGCTGCACCATGCATGGACTTCACTAATGTAAAAAGACTTGAAGTGCTGATTCAATGTCCCTGTGCAAGAACAACAACACAAAAACACAGTCTATCCCTTGTCATGTGACTAGAATGGATTTGCATGCAAAACAATGAGATGGGCTTTACATGAAGAGATAATGGTCTGGGTAAATACATTTCTTTTTCAGTCATATGTCCATGTTACCATGAAAGACAATGAAATTTCCACATAAGAAATGCCACTTCTAATCATACAGTATATTATGCACAAAAAATGGTGGTACGAAAACCAGAGAAAAATCTTCTGTGGCTCCAAGAGAAAAGAAAAACAGTATTTTAGAGAGCAAAGTCTACTGATCTCAAAAAATGCAACCCATTAACTTCATCCTGGTAGCTCCAATCGACACTGTACTTTGACACATCTGTGTAATGAATTACAAAACAGCAACAGCTCTCTGACAAACCACCGCTTTCTGTGAAAGTTGCATTTCCCATATACACACACAACTTTCACAGGTCCATTTAATATATAACGGAGTCATTCTCTACACCACATAATGTTTATCATAGTCACCACCACTGATGAAAGCAACTGTTTCAGTAAAGCTTTAAAAAGCAAGACTACCCTGAGAGAAGGTCTAAAACGTGGGCAAGCTTGCCAGACCAGAACTGGCTTGAATGGGTTTGGTTTATTAAATCTGTACACTCTATTTCAATATAATCAGCACATTTTGTTCCAAGAATGTAAGATATTATTTTTTTTTAGTAATTGTGTAATATATATCTCTACATAATACAATCCAAGTCCTCTGAACTATGTAGACATGTGCAAGTGTTTACTACCAACTTCAACGATACAGTAAAGGCAAAGACTTGTGGACACTAAGTTAGGATAATGTTGATATTTGAAATTTTCTTGAGTCCTCACAATTATCAAAATCTAAGTGCTGTAAGTAGTTCATACACGAGGTATTGAATATCTAGTTAACTGTTCTGAGTATAAAATAGAGGCAAAATACATAAAGAACATTGCAAGCATGACAAAGAAACTTCTACAGACACAATACACAAGTGGTCAAAGATAATATGAGGGGATACCTGTAACCTTTTGTGTCCTTGAATATAGTGTACTTACAGATTTGATGTTTTCATGTTGATGAGAGGTCATACTGTATCATGCTCTCACATACTGTGAGCCTTAGACCCAAGGGAGATCAATTCACAGCACTGCATTGTTGCTCAAGGCAATCTTTTCATATCAAACTGCCCGGCTAAACATCTCCGTGCTTAGAGGTTGAGGTGTGTTTGATCAAGTACACATTATTCTAGCTACAGTAAATGACCCATTTTGAAAAAGTGCACCGAGTCAGGTGTTACCTGTGAGGAGGATCATAATACACACACATAAAGGAATTATTAGCTCCCCATCTCCTCCTACAGCAGCATATTCTTTGTAAAAGACAAGATTTTGCTCGTTAAAACTTGCTCCGTGTTTTGTTCTCGGCACAGCTGAGGCATGATACAGAGTACTTTCCCTCCATCGATTCAAATAAGCGGGGGTCATGTTTATGTATAAGAATGAAACGCATGGTCATAGCATGATGTGCATCAACATAATCTGAGGTAAACCAGGTGTCCTGTGTCTTGGCCTGTTACAGTCTGAGAACCAGTGCCTTAGAGGGTCAGAGAGGTAAGTCTGAAAGAAATCATGTAAACTGTGCTCGTGTGTAGTGAATGTTTCACTTACTACCAAAAGCACAAGGGCCCTAAACTGTAAACCTCAAGGATTATTCAAAGAAAAAAACAAAACAGAACACTAAAAGTACTCTACTCATTAGATTCAACGTTTCCTTTTTTCTTATTTTTTGCAGGGTTTTCAACTTTTTTTTTTTCTCTTGTTTTCGCTCAAGTATAATCACAGGTGACTAACTACAGAGGATAACAGGGTCAGGTGAGTACCATGCTACATCAGGTTTAGAGAAGGCTATTGCAGACAGTTCTACAACATGTACAACCACATTTTATACGTGTGAGTTACAAATATTTCAAAACATATCACCAAGAAACTAAGTACATACAAGATGTTGAATATTTAGAGTCTTAAAGGACTATCCCTCAGTCAGTAATAGGATTTCATGTTACTTGACTTAAACTGTCCAGTCTTACAGACAAAATCTGAAAAATTGCTATTCAAAAAGTAGCAAATTTGGTCAATGTCTCTTTTCAAATAGTAATAGTGCTTTTAATGGCTTAAGACAGGGGTCTTTTTTTAATCTCACCCAGTGGCAATCTACAGAACTTCAGTGTACATTTTATGACACCATAGCTGCAAAAGTCTTCATGTCAAGTCCAATAGGTAAAACAACAGCTAGTGCTGTCACATATATTTAAAAGTAGTATGCATTATCAAAAAAAAACAAATAAACAAAAACAAATACACAATTATAAATTTTTTTTCAACTCATTAAGTTCTTGTAGGGCATTCAGCCATATGTTTAGATCTGCGTTCCCATTTCCTATGAGTTACCAGTCTGAGAGGACAGGCCCCCAGGAGCCAGGCTCCTTTCCAAGTCTTCAGGAAGCTTCTATTTGAGACTCTCCTGTGTGCCGCGAGGGTCATCAGGACTACATACAAGTAAGAGGGGACTTAAAACTCCCACTCCAGTGTTTCCTCTCGATTGGCTGCTCTCTCTAGCCTGTGGATGATGTTATTGAGGTTGGCCATTTTCTCATTGCGTCTCTGAGTGCTTCTGTTGAGTTTAGGGCTTTGGAAGGGAGGGAGCGGGTTAGGGTCCAGGCTGTGATTGGTGCTCGTCGAGGGCGGGTTTGGCAGCGAGGGCGATATGGGAGCGGATGAGGAAGGGACAGGGGAGACTGACATCATGAGGCCAGGTGAGGATGCGGCAGAGGGGGAGTTGAGGGAGACCTCCAGGCTGCTGCGGCAGGGCTCCGACGAAGCCTTGAAGCTGACCGGGTCGATGGGGGACTTTCCGGAGTCTTCCCCCTCGTGCCTGGACTGGTTGGTTCTCTGGGGGCCGTCTATGGAGACTGCGACATGGTAGAGCCCTTGAGCCTGGCTGCTCATCCCCTCTTCTTGCCTCAGGCTCTGGCCAGCCAAGTGGGGCTCGCGGCAGACAGTGATGGAGTCCTCGTGTTCATTTTTTAACGGCGGGAACTGCAGTGCCGTGGAAAAACGCTGAACTCTCAACTGTTTCATGGAGCCCTCCCTTCCCTCCTCCCCCTCATCTTCCCTGTCTATTGCCTCTTGTTTGACGTGAGGCAGTGCTGTGTTGGCGCTAAGAGGAAGGCTGGAGTTGATGTGTCCTGAGGGCTGCTGCAGCCTCCTCTCCTCTCCATCGGAGTGGGGGCTCCGCGTCACCGGCGGGGAGTAGCTGTGGTGCTCAGCATCTGTGTCATTGTCTGGCAGACCCTCCATCAGTACCTCCCGTCGCATCCTGGACCTGGAGACAAACACTGCTGTTAGACAGTCACATAAGGTCGTAATCACATGAGAGTAATGAAAACAACAGAGGCAGCCATTAGCAAACTTCACAAAGGTCATTGGACTGGCCTGTAGTTGTGGAACCAGTTGATGACAGTGTTGGTTTTGAGTTTGAGCTGGGAAGCCAGTATCTCGATGGTGTTCTGAGAGGGGTATGGCTCCATGAGATAGGCTTTCCTCAGGGCTTCTTTCTCCTCAGCTCCCAGCACCACCCGAGGCTTCTTCACCTGGCTGTAGGGGCACAGGTCCAGCGAGGCCAAGGTCGGACTCACACACTCAGAACGAGTGCTGGGTGAGTCGCTGTCTGAGCCAGTGCTCAGGAGCCCATATCGCCTTTTCAGATAGGCTGGAGGGAAGACAGTGACATCAGGCGTAAGAGGATTACAAAACGCCATCAAATTCACAAACTTAATAGATATTACAGAATACACTAAGGGTTCCCACCTTTCTTCTCCATCTTCTTCATGGCCCTCAGCTTGTCCACATTGTGAGGATCATTGAGCCACAGCTGCATGCGGACAAACGGCTCCCTGCCTTTCAGGCTGAGTTTGTGCCATGGTTTGGGCCTGGAGAGCAGGTCGGACACCGAGCCTTGAGTTAGTCCCAGGATGGTCTCCCCGAAAAGACGCTGGCCTGTGGAAAACAAACAAAGTCTATGTAGGAATTGTGTCTACATTCATCAGCTTAACCCTACAGTTTGAACTTAGACCCACCTAGGTTGTTGTCTGTTAGCACCTCCTTGACCTTCTTGGTGATGGCGTAGGTGTCTAGCTCCGGAGACATGGCCACCAGCTCCTGGATACCCAGTGGGTTTGTGGGCTGGTGCAGGGCCATGAGGTTGGGAGTGGATTTCCCTCCCTCTGGGTGGGGGGGCAACCCCAGGCCCAGGCCCTCAGGCTGCTGGTTCTCCTTGCTGCTCTCCAGGGACAGGCTGACAGGCTCAACCAGCGGACTTGGGTGGCTCTCTGCTGGACTAGGAGGTGGGGAGGGCGAGGACTGGGCCGTCACTGGGCTTTTTTCTAGAGGTGGGAGGCATCACAAAAAAAAACAGTAAACGTATGGCCTAGATGCAGCCATTGCAGATGTCCCATTGTATGTAGGGTGAAATACTGCAACAATTAGGCTTTTTCAAATTTTGCATTTTTACAATTGATATGCTGTTATTGAAGAATCTCAAGTGATTCTTGCTCGTCAGACTCTGTTGGTGTGAGTGTGTGTAAACTGCAGTCTCACCCTGAGTGTGGCCCTGGTTTGGGGGCTGGCTGAGGCTCTGGCCAAGCTGGTCCAGTAACCACAGCTGCATACGGATGAAGGGCTCCCTGCCTTTCTGGGTTAGCTTGCTCCAGGGTTTGGGCCGAGACAGCATGTCGCTCACACTGCCCTGAGATAGCCCCAGCACCTGCAGCATACAGTATAGGTTAATATATTGTATTGTATCTTCAACGATACTAACAACAAATGTATATGATTATTGATTTTCCAAATTATTATTACTAAAGAAACAAATTTGCTTGCTCTTGACATTTGTCCTCAGTGATACACTTTCAGAAAACAACCACTAGAGGGAAGCAATACTTCAGAAATGTTCATGTTGACTCAATTTTAACACAGGGATTTCACTTAGAGCTGCAACACATTATATGGATATCATCATTTTTAATAGCCACAGTGTAATTTGCATCATTGATCACAAATTAATCTAGAATATTTGTTTGTATTTGTTTTTACAATAAATTTTTTTAAACATTGCATGTGCCAGAAAAAAATGGTTATATAAAATTGCTGCAGTCTTCGACGTAAGTGGAACTTAGTTGAAAGTTTAAGAACGTTTTACAACAGTCACAGTCAACTATTTTCCGAATATTATTACCACTCATGGAAAGGCTCAAGCTAGGGAATTCAGACTTTAACCCTTAATATTAGCAATGTAAAATCTGCACCATAAAACATAAATGTGTTATCTACTCCACAGGGGATGAACTGTGACAAATGACAGAGGTGCCTAGAAAAACACCCAAAGGGATTTTCTGGAAATAAAGGCATACTTTCTAGGGCTGAACTAACAAAACTGACATAGAACCTACAGTTGCTCATTTCAGGGAAAAATGCAAATGAAATGCAGTGTTATGAAAACACATTTCTTCCTTCCTGATTTCCTCTGTTCCTCCATTTCCTCAATTTCTCTATTTATCACAGTGAATGGTTCCAATTCTTTTTGATAAAATGTCAAACTTAGTTCAGATGTTTTCGAAGTGGGGTTGTATGAGGTAGTTATCCATAGCCAGTTCGGAGCCAAACTAACCAAAGTCACACAATAACACGAATAAAACAATCAAGGCAGCGGTAAACCAGTAACTCCCGTGTTCTGTGAGGTCTGGTGGCTTTGAAGAGAGCATATAACAGCTTCAGTTTCCCACTAGAAAGGACTGTCTGACAGCAGGGTAAAGTGGTAAAAATATTCTTCAAATAGCGTACACTTAAAGTGATTGATTCTTTTAAGTTTTTATGTGGCTAAAATACAGTTTTCTGCAGCCCCATGCACAGCAGTGCATTGCTTAGCTTCCGTGACGGGACTCCTGTCTGCTGGGGGCATACCGACCGCCATCTACTGTACACTGATTATGGTAAAGTAAAGTCAAATTATGATTTCATCCATTTAAGGAACAAATTTATCCAACACTGATATTAACCATGTGAAAAAGTATTTGCACTTTGTTACTCAAGCAGCCACATTTGACTGATAACTCGATTGAGATTGATTGAATGCAGACAGACTAAATTCCTACAAGCACACTGTGCCGCAAAGGAAATTCCAGAAGAGATGTGTTGTTGAAGACTATCTGTCTGGAAAAGCTTACAACGCCAGCAAACCACAGTGAGAGACATCTACATGGAGAATACAGTGGTATGGGGGAACTTGTGGCCAGCCTCCCAAAGGTTCTGCAAGGGCGCAGCGACAACTCATCCAGGAAGTTACAAAAGATCACAGCAGGACATCCAAAAACATGCAGACCTCCCAGCTAAGGACACTGTTCATGGCTCCACAATATGAAAGAGATGCAAAATAGGATTCAAGGGAGAGTAGCAAAGCAGAAAGCATTGCTCTCTTTTCATTCACTCATTTGCAGAAAAGCACCTCCAGGCTTTTAGGATAATGTTCCACGAAGACATTAACGCAAGTTCTACTAGGTGTAAAGAATACACAGCATTTCATTCTAATGACAGTTTCCTACAGGGCTGGGAGACCTATGCAGATGTACCTGAAGAAACAGTCAAATGTGATAGTTGTTGTGTGATGGTGTGGGGAGGCTCAGGCCTTGTTATTATTAAGGGAAGCATTAACAACTGCTCAGTGCCAAAATATTCTAAAAGAGAAGAGTCCAGTCATCTTTCCATGAGCTGTGTTGTGCCACAAGACAATGATCCAAACCACAAAAGATCTGAGGGTGAAAAAAAATTAATTAAAAGTTTTGAAGTGGCCTTTACAAAGTCCTAACGTGAACTCAGCAGAGACGCAGTAGCTCAACTGAAGCACTTTAAATGTGTCTTTCTGCATATAAAAACATATGCTGCTATCAAATTAGAAGTAGTGTTGGGCTGCGGTTATTGCTGCTTAAGTGGTGCGGCCTATTATTACATTTAAAGGGGGCAATTACTTTTTCACATGGATGATTTGATTGTTGGATTACTTTGCTCCTTAGATAAATAATAGTGTTTTGTGTTTAGTCAGGTTAGTCAATATTACATGTAGTCTGAAGATGTGAAAACATTCAGTGTGACAATATGCAATGCACAGGAAAACAGGATTACATTTTAATGGCACTGTATTGTATCTTAGCAGGCTGCTTGTAGTTTCTTTTAATAAGAAGGAGCAACATCTGACCTTTTCACCAAAGATCCTCTGACAGATGCCGTTCTTAGCCAGCTTCTCCTTCACCTGCCTGGTCAGCTCAATGGTGTCCACCTCCCGGTACATGTACATCTCATACTGCTCTGGAGTCAGCGGCGGCACAGTGGGCTTGAGGGCACGGGGGATGTATGCTGGGTAGTAGGAAAGCCTTCCTGGACCGGGGCCAGGAGACTCTCCACTTACCGACGTGTCTGACTCCACTTTCACCTCCACTGGTCGGCCCAGCCCCAGCTCGTCCTCGGCAGCAGACGCCTCCTCGCTGTTGGGGAGACCCTCGCCGTTCTCCAGACGGGGCCAGGGCCGGGGCAGGGCAGAGGGCCCGGAGGAGGAGGAAGACAAGGAGGGAGAGACTGAATTGAAGGGCCGAGAGCTACCTCCACCACCGAGCACCATTGAGCCCCGCTCATGAGACCAGTGCTGGTCGAAGTAGGTGCCTGCTTCGCCGATCTCTGATTTGACTTTGCGGATGATGTTCTGGACGAATGCTGCCGGGGAGAGGACGCTGAGAGGTGTCTGGGGGCTGCTGATGGAGTTGGCCATGCAGACTGTAACGCAGCCTCCTTCCTCCTGTTTAATGGAGATGGGTAAAGGCAGGCCCCTGGAGCGCTCTGGGGGCCCCAGACGCTCAACCTGAGCTCCTGAACTGACCGTCGGGGCCCTCCCGCAGACCTCCATCTCCATCAGGGCGTGTTGCTGGGCTTCCATCTCCCTCCTGGCCTGTTCTAGGATGCTCTTTATGGTGTCATCAGAGCTGCTGCCAGGCCCGTTACTGCTTCTGCCTGATGAGCTGTTCAGAGACGACTTTCCATCACCTAAACAAGAAAGATGTATTCTCAAATCCACTTTCTAATTCAGATGCAATAAAATTGTGATAAAAATTCCAAATAAAAACAGTAAACATCATTGTCAATTTAAAAAAAAAAAATCAATCAATATGGCTTTTAACTATGACTTATGACTTGCAGCTCCATCCTCACCTCCCCTCTGGGACTGGATCTCCTTCTTGGCCTGCTCCAGGATATTCCTAATGGCGTCGTCTGACCCAGTTTCAGGAGTTCGGATGCGCGGAGTGATGCTCCCTGCCACAGAGGGTAACAGAAAGAGATAGAGAGAGAGAGGAGGGGGGTGAGTGGGATGGTTGATCAGAGAGCAGTTCCAAGGCTTTGCTTTTGACTGGTAGATCAATGGCTGCCTTTGAGCGCGTGCCGTCTGAGGTTGCAGTATACGGGAAGCTCAACTTTCAAAAGCTGTGAATCTAGGGAGAAAACAAAGTTTAAAAGTAACACTACAAACATGGCAGAGGAAGCTGCGAAGAAGTCAAGGATGAGGTCCAAGTAGATTAGAAGGTTTAAACGTACACAGGTCCAGAAGCTAAGCCACCAGGCCAAGACGGCATGATTACATCTGCTAGAAAAACGTATCATAGCTTCATACACTTGGAAATCCCTTGAACCTAGTTCTTGTTTTGGTAGATCTGTGTTTATTAAATATGAACTATTATATCTGAACCTTCAGTTTTCAAGACAAAACAAGTGTGAAGGTTAAAGTTATCCTGTCTGTTGTTAATTACCACTGGTTTGTGCAGAACTGCCTGCTGGTTCAACTTTAGCCTACTCTACCTTAAAGCTATTTACTTATTTTCCTTATTGTTAACAAATCCCATGAAACTACCAAAACCAAGTCCATTCATTCCTACTAATTGAAAAAATGGGGTTACAAATACATACTTTCATTTAAAAAAAGGCTAATTTCCTAAAACAGCCTAAGCACTGTAGTTTTTAGCAAACATTTCTCAAGTATTTCCAGCAGCAAGACTGTGGATTGACTCAGAAAAACTACAGTGCCCATGTCCATGTAAATAAAGGAATATGTATGGCTTATTGATGTGTTTTTTTTTTTAACAAAATGGAGCACAAAGGAATACAATACATCTGCTTTGGTTGCAAACACTATTTTGTTGGTCAAATAAATTAATTGTTGGTTTTGGTTTTTCATGGATTTTCTGACAATAAAAATAAATATTATATTAGAATATCACCAGACTTATCTTTTGACGGTCATTGTAAACATCATGCAGTGGGTGAATGTGAAAGCCACTGGTTTAGAAAATAAGATTAAGGATTTGACTTGTTTAAATGATCTTTTTTATTGCTGATGTTACTTCCCATATTGGTCTCTAATGTAAAGTGGCCAAAGCTACAAATATTAATAGAGCGTGTTGTTTATTCCCACCTGAACTTGCATGTTTTTCAAAAACATTCCTGTCATGTGCCCCTCTTTTCCACTCACCTCTCTGGCGGACCTGGATGGTCCTGAGTGCCAGGATGTTCTGTTCATCAGAGAGGAACTGCTTCATCTTAATGAAAGGCTCTTTGCCTTTCACAGTCAGCTTCCTCCAGGGTTTGGGTCTTGCCAGGATCTCGCTGACCGAGCCCTGGGAGAGGCCCAGCACATAGTGGCCAAACACACGCTGGCCAATGTTATGCTTCAGCAGCTGCTCCTTCACCTGGAAGGCGATCTCTGCCGTGTCCAGTTGGTCCTCATCTCCTGCTGTGGAGCTGCCGCTTTCCGACTGGTCGCTGGGCAGGCCGGCGTCGACGCTGCCCGCCCCTGCGGACCCTTGGGTGGCTGACATGAGGGCAACTTTGGCTGCATAGAGTGCGGTGGGAAAAGCCATGAGGCCCTCCTTTTTAAAGTGAGGGGAGAGGAGCTGCTTGTGAAGGATGTGGTCTCCTGACAGTCTGTCCCCGGAGCACGGCGACACAGAGAAGGGACGCGGTAGATCGTGGCTGGAGGAGGAGCCGTCCAGGGTGGGAGGGCCGGGGCTGGGGGATGTGCGGCCATCCGCCTGAGAGGAGGATGAATGGGAGCCGGGTGGCCTGCCTGTCTCTCTACCTGCATCCTCAGACTGGTCATCATCTGATGACAGGAAACACAAGCTTACTGACCAAGCTCATATATAACACATACATGGCTTTAGTCATTGAACCAACTGCTATCTAGCTGATAACAGATATTTCAAGAATTTTTCTAGCCTTGCATACCTAGACTACATTTTTCAGGCTCAGTTTATGCAAAGAGATTTAAGTCTGAAAAATATGGACTCCAGAATTGATTCATCCTGACCAACAGTACCAAGTAATCAATGAAGTATAGGAATTTTTTCAGAAGATGACAAAACTCATGGCTTCTCGTTAAGAATCTTGTGGTAAACTATTTAAACAAGATTTTATAGAAAGAAAATTAAACATGAGAGAGATTTATTTTACCAATGCTGTGCAAAATTCGGGCCTTATCAACCAGGTATTTGTGAGATGGAAGAAAGGCTTCTTTATCCAGCAAAAGAGCCTCTGCAGCCTTGGCAGAATCCTGTACACACAAACATACACACACACAAAAGCTGTTAATTTTCAATGAATCAATTACAGTGGCTGTAGATATCTTTATAATGGATAACTATCAGCGAAGCATTCAATGGTACTGCTGTAGTTTTTTTTCCCCAACACCAAAGGAACATTAGGAATAGCATAGGTCTACTTGGCTGTGTGAACAGTAAGATGGTGCAGACCATATATACCTGGGACGAGCTGCCATTGGCTGAAGCCAGCTTCATGACCTTTAGGATACTACAGAAAAAGACATGTAGAGAAAGTCAATTTTTGCGATTTAAATTATCATTTTTATGAATGAGTTGAGTTTTCACTTAAATGATCACCTGAGTTCAGTTTTAATCTCTTCATAGTCCATCTGGGATTGCAGTTTAGCTTCTAATCTCTGAAATGGAAAAAGCGAAGCAACATGTTTTATTTCATATTAATAAGAGTTTCATTAAGTTATCAGGGCCACTGAGGACTGAAAAGGAGTTCGCCATGTTCTGTTGGAGCCACTCACCTCGATAGCTTCCGTCTTATAGGCCAGCTGCCGTTCTAGCTCTAGGATCTGATTGGCCGAAGTCTCTTGAACTTCCTGTAGTGTGAACTGCAGCCGCTGGATGTTTTCAAGAAGACGGAGGATTTCTCGGTCTTTAGCCAGCAAGGCTGCCTCCAGCTGGGAGGGCAGCACCTCGCCCTTCTCGTTCTTCTCCTGACAGGGCGAGAAGGAGACATGACAAAGGGTGTGAGGGGGAGGGACAAAAGCGATGAAAGGTGTGCGGAGAGGAGAACATGTGAGCCTGTGAATCACAACCTCTGCAGTGTTGACATAATTCAGACAGTTGGAAAGTGAGAGAACTTGAATTATAGCAAAGCTGAAGAGGTAATAATAAATACTCATTTTTGTGTGATCATATCTGATAATACAAGGTACTAGGCACAACATTTCTATACCAATTACCAGCTCCAGCACTGATTTGATGAATTTGCTGATTTGTACACACAAAATCTCTCTTTAGGAGTGTTAGTTTAGGGGTTCACAAACTTTTACATGCCCATTATTTCTTTGCAATTTCCCTTATCTTCTCTCAAATTTGCTGAGGCCTAGGTTATCTCTGGGACGTAAACTACAAAGTTATCAGGGCAATGATGACATAGTATCACAGAAGTTGCCAAAAATGAAAAACTAAAACAAGTGTCCTAGTGGTAGAAGAGGTATTCAGATTCTTTACTTAAGTAAAAGTAGCATTTCCATAATTCAAAGATACTCCAATATGAATGCATTAAAACTCTAAAGTAAAAGTATTATCAAAATGTATTTAAAGTATCAAAAGTTACTCAGTATTCATATGCAGAAAAATGGACCCTGTCAGTATTATATTATTATATATTATATTGTGTTAATATCATCAGTAACATGCAAGCACATTTGTAATGTTGTGGCTGGTCGTCAGGGAACTACTTCAACTATGTTACACACTGTTGTTTTTAACATATCATCATATGTCATATAAATGTAGTGGACTGTAAGCACAAAGTAGCATACAATTGAACAAGTCAAGTAGCTTAAAATTGTACTTAAGTACAGTACTTGAGATAATGTACTTAGTTACATTTCAATACTGCCTGGATGTGGTCAAAAGATAGAGACACATTATTCTTACCCTGCTAGTGCCCTCTGCTGGATGGCAGTTCCCTGTGGTGGCACTCTGGCCGCTGGCTATCTGCTCCTTTAGCCTCTCCACTTCCCTCTGGGCCATTTCAGCTCTCTGTGCACAGACATGGTATCACAGCGTTACAGTTTTCATACACCAGCCACATCAATTGGCTAATGAGATGATCAAGGTGAGAGTATATACATAAATCAAAAAAAGTCTGAATTTTTAGAGTCGAGTGGAAAACCTGAGCAGGGGCCCGAGCAGACGAGTGCAGCCACGGTTTATTCTGCTGAGGGGGCTGTTTAGTCAGCCCACTTTATTCCCCAAACTGTTTACCTGCTCTGTCACACCCGGCCTGCTAATTAATGATTCATTTTGAGAACATTTATCTAGGAGCTGATGGCAGAGAGCAGCAGAGTGAGGAAAAAGAGCACGGGAGAGAAAAGCAGAGGGGAGAAGAAAGGAGCAGAAGAAAAGAGGTATCACCAGGATGGGAAGCAATCAAGGCAGTGAGATAACTAAGAACCCTGGCGCTCGGCACTCCGGCATCAGTCGCGCTCGGCAGTCTCCCGTTCTCTGCTGAGTGGAGCCGTGCTGCCGTAGCGTGCCCACCGACGGGGGCTCAGGTTTACTCTCGCTAATCACACACTCGGGGGAGGGAAGGTGGAAGTGGGAGGAAGGGAGGGGTGGCGGGGGTGCCACAGGACGGAGGGTGTCTAATTAAAGCCAAGGCTTGATTACAGGAATGATTACCTTAACGAAGGAGCATCTCAATCAGAGAAGTGCAGAGGAAGACTGTACTCACCTGGTTTGCTTTCTCAAGATTCGCCATTATGGCGTCAACCTCCTCTGCCCTGGAACACACACACACACACACACACACACACACACACACACAGACAGAGAGGCACAGGATTATTGAAGAGATACTGTGTTAATCATTTAATTAGTTAATGATTGTTTTATTAAGAGGCCTGTGTTCTAAAAGTAAATCTCATTCTTATTTTCCTTATATGCATTTCAGGAAATCTAAATATAAAGAGTTTTACACCTTGAACCTTGACCTTATAAAAACTGAGTGTTGTTGTCACAGAAAGTGGCACTACTGTGTTGTTGTGGAGGAGCTACCATAACATGCAGGTAAGTTCACATAGACACTTGGGATGTACATTATCCTGTATTAGTGGCATCCGGCAGTGAAGTTGCAGATTGCAACTAACTGAACACCACTCGCGTCTGTCTTTGACAACCTTAGAATGACAACAGGCTGTGAAGGGTGTAGGAGAAAGTGTGTAGTTTGTCTGTTCTGGGCTACTGTAGAAACATGGCAGACTCCATAAAAGTGGACCCACTCCCTCTGTAGATACAAACGGCTCATTCTAAGCTAACAAAAACACAACAATTCCTATTGTCAATGATTATACACTGATGAAAACATGAAAACCTATTAATATTATATTCCATTTCTGCCAATAGATCCTCCTGAATGTTACACACTGGACCTTTAAATTAATTGCTCTGGATTTATTGTTATTGAAGAAGGGAATTGCAGCTGTACTTCACTTGTTTCAGTGCCTCTCTTAACAATAACTAAGCAGGCTTGGTGGCTACGGTGCAACATTAAAACAGCACATTATGTCTGAAACAAAAGCAACAAAGACAACAATCCCCATCTTAAGTTTCTACTCATTAAACAGGTCCTCTTACACTACTCCTAACTAGACAATCTCGGGTATATAAACAGCAGGAAGTACATCCTCCAAAATGGCACCTCTCTTAGTTGGAACAAAAACCTGAATATTATGATGAAGGTAGGCCTTATTGTAGGATTGTTGTGTTAGGCTACATAGCTTAACACATTTTAGCTAGGTGAACCTAATAAACTGTAAACTGAGTGTATCACTGCAACACCCTGCTGGCACATAACTGTAGCCAGGATTTTAGAAATAATGAGTCCAAATATAATCACACTCCAATAGAAAATATTACAGAGTCTCCAAAAGATGAATACATTCCTCTAACTGTTCAATCATACTTTCTTTAAATTGCATCCCACCACAGGATGCCGTTTCAAAGCCTTGCTCAGAAATATTCTGGTAAAGAAACACAAAATACAAAATAATTTAATACCTAACTTAATAACTAATATTAAGATACAGAGTATAACAAAGATTATCAGTAATTTGTAATTTGTGTGTGAAGGCTGAACATAAACTCTGCAGGTCATTAAAAATCTCAGACACTCAAACGGTGCAGATGACCTCAGTGTCTCACTCGTAGCCAGTGGATGTACAGTATGTATGATTCGCATCCTCAGAACTTCTGAGATTGAACTCCAACTTGCCTCCATACATCTAACAATCAGAGTAGTCTAATTTAAACAGAAGCTCAGCAGGATTATTCATGAGGTTTGTTTGAAGTTCAACAGTTTCATTTTGCACACATGGGACCTGATTTTCAAAAGGTAGATAGGGATGAATTAACGAGGATGCTGTGATTGATTTAAATAAGCACATAGGTTTCTCAAGTTTCGGGACACGGTAGTTTCTTTTTACCAAAAGAAAAATTTGTTCAAAGAACGTATTAGACTTTTTAAATCCACATTAAACTACATTCATCCGAACCTTCATTCTCTTTCATGTTTGCACTTAACTGCTCCCATTGTCTCACATCAGGCTGCATAATTACCTAAAATATTAGTGATCCAAGAGAATCATTGTGTCATGAATACTCAAAAGCAAAAGACAATACTCTGATGTTTGTACAGTGAGATGGGGAATCTGTCAGATACTCAGGCTGTCTCAGACCAAACCTTTTCTTGGCATTAATGATCATCAGTGTTGTGTGGTGCGGCGCTGGTTTCAGAGGGTCTTGGCCATGCCCCGGTCCTATCAATAAGGCAAGGATAGATGGCGCCCTGCTGACAGCAAACACTAACAGGTGTCAGCTCCACGTTTAATGAACTTGTGCAGTACGGAAAATGTTTTGTATTGATTACCTGCTCAGCTACTCAAGCCGAAGCAGACAAATAGTCTTTCTTATCAACATTGAGGAAACAGTCAGCGAGAGTAATAGAGGCCGGCCCAGTGTTCAGAGGCTCAGGGTCAGGGAGGGATAACTGCACTGGGGTCAGCGGTGCTACTGTCAGCACAGAGTAATGTGACCAGGACAACACACACACACACAAAAACTGTATGACAAACCACATAACAGAGATGGTCTTTCAAACTGCAGCTGCACATGAAAAGGTAAGGCCAAACTGAAAATGTGTCCGATCCAACAAAATGGATGGCAGTGGGTCTTGAAACATCAGTTCAATTGTGCCATGGATTAAGCCTGGGAGAAAATCCATTAGCAGCGGCTGACTGTGCTCTGGAGCACAACCCAAACAAAGGAGTGTTTACTTTGAATGTCTATCGACATCCTTCATACAAGCTCAGATTCATTTCAGGCGTGCGGTGGATACATTGCGCTCAAAGACCAGGACAAGGTAGAGTGTTTTCTGAAGCAATCTTTAAATGGAGCAATTCTTCTTGAGGGCTGTCAAGGCCCAGCTGCCAGTGAAGGCAAACACAGACCTCTCTCATCGACCTGCATTAGTGGCTGAGTCACTCTCACTCTCCGCCTTTACAATGGCATTCCTCAGCTCTGCAGTGTACATGAGTTTATGTAGGCAAAATAAAGAGGAGCGGCTTCAGCACTTCAAATGATACAATGAGCACCAGTGAGGAAGGCCACATAGGTGTTACCACCACGACTTGAGGGAGGGAGGGAGGGAGTGGGCTGTATAAAAGTTTGTCAGGAATATGAGGGACAGCAAACACAAGATGTCAAATCTGAGGCAGACTCTTACTTGTTGGTCATCTCTTGGTTGTATTTACACCGCAGGTCCAGTAGCTCAGTCTGTGCAGTGTTCAAAGCTGGTGAGAGGCAGACAAGGGAAGTGAGATATTAACTTAAAAAAACATGTGAACTTTCATCTTAAAGCTACATTACTCAATTTATCTGCCAATATTCTTTTGGACACATTCATATCTTTTTCATATTAGAAATACAGGGCAGTTTCACTTCAGTATAGGGCCACTATTAACAGTCAAATAACTCATTGAAAGCTTATATGAAAATGTAACATGATGAAAACCAAATTTAATGCAAATATGTGTTAGTTTTAACTTATAGTTATGTCAACAAAGCAGCAGCAGGGCACCTGTGTTTCAGCAGGGGGCACCATACAGCAATTATACATGCATTGGTTCTTTAATAGGTTGAAATTAAATTTAACAGCTACAGTACGTGCCAGTGTTTAAACCACTTACATGAATGCAGAACCTTGATCTTCTCCTCTGCCTCTGAGAGTCTGTCAGCCAAACCAACATCGGCGCTCTCCTCCTCCTCCCTGGGGTGAAAAAAAAAAAACTCTTGTCAGTTACTTCACTTCATCATGGCCACACATTTAAAAGCTACAATGTGCAACTTCATGCCTTGAGACAGAAAAATCTCAATCAATCAATAAAGTTGAATATTGTTTCCTTAATGAGCATTAAAATAGATTGAGAATATTTAAGGGTTATCCTTGACAATCATATTATACCTGAAATAAAATACAAATAGACATGTAATAGAAATGTAATAAGACATATATACAAATAATATGCTACACAACAATATTAATATGTGTCTGATTTCATCATTCAAATCCTTATTACTATGAATATGCAAATGTTGTTCATTTCTAAAGTTTTCCTGCTGGACACAAGATGTCTCCTATTTCACTGTGAAGTCCATTCTCAGTGGATGTGCACTGGTGGCTTCAAGTTTCTACATCACACTGTGCAAGTTGCATACTGGACCAGGACTGACTTCCTAACTATTTGTGATGACTTCCAAACTGTCATGCTTGTAGGTCCGTCCCTGAAAGAACCAGTGTGGAGGATTGAGTGTGAATTAGCCGCGTAATTGCAGATCACAACTCACTCGCTTCACCCTTCCAAGCTTGAAGGAGAAACTGTGATGGCCATGACACGTGCCAAAAAGGCGAACGCCCCTATCTAGAGCCAGTGTTTGGTTTGTCCCTTCTGTGCTACTGTAGAAACATGGCAGTTCAACATGGCAAGGCGACCTGTGGTATCTGTAGATAAAAGCAGCTCATTCTAAGGTAACAAAAATCAGATTTTCAATGAGCACACAGAGTGGTTCACTGCTTCTCACCCTCGGCCCTCAGCTCGGTCCTGGTAGTTCTGGTGTGGGGAGCCTGGGGCCCCAGGAGCCGGTGTGCTGTTGGGGGTCATCAGGGAGGTTGGAGAGCTAGATTCTGGGGCCTCCTCTGTCGCTGCTGCCCCTGAAACTGCTGGGCCGTCCTCTGAGTGCTCTGTGTGGAAGGAAAAAGCTGGCATGAGTTCTCCAACGTCAGCTAAGTGCTCTGACATTCCCGAGTAAATATAAAAATCTATTTGCATTTGAAATAATCATCTGAAGGCAACTATGGTTCACATTTCTCCAGATGTTTTGGTGGAATTCTCAGCCTTCCTAAGACCTGATACATTCAAATTAACTTCCCAGTACTTTCAGACTTATACAGTAGCAGCCGCTTCAGCATTGCATTAAAAAATATTAGCATTCAGGTGGAATTGCTCCTTGATGTAGATGATTTTGGCCTGACCTGTCTTTTCAAGGCACTCCAGGTGTTTCTTCCAGTGCCCGCTAATCTCTCGTACCAGGGTCTCGCTGTCTGGGACCGAACTCTGAAGATGCTGCAGCCGTCCCTCCAGGGTGTGCGAGGCCTCCAGCACAGGAGCTGGATCTGTGAACACAGACGCAAACAAATCTCTGTAAAAAGAACTCCTAAAGATTCACGTGATATCCATACACTTCTACTTTTCAAAAAAAGCAAAATAGCTGTTTTACTGTGCGCGCTGCCTGTAAAGCACATTACAGAGTTTTCTGCATCGCAGTTTCAACAGAGGCAGACTATTCCACTGAGACTTCTTTCCACAGAGTGACTCTTAGACTTTCCCCACTCAGACGCCTTTGAAAATTTCACAGGCTGGACCTAATGACACAAGTGCTGTTCCGACCGCTCACATGTACAGAAATCAAATCTAATGAGTCTTCTCACATGCTGATGAATGGGAAAGAAGACAAAAAGATTGCCATGAATATGTGACAGAGTCTTAAGTCCCAAGTATACACCTAGGCAAAGTGTAGAAAAAGTCTGCTCCTGAAAAGGGGGTAAAAAAAAAAAAAAAAAAACGGGATTCTTTAGCACAACAGAGGAGCTGTTTTGCAATGCATGCGCGGCAGCACCGGGCCCATGGGGCCAACTAGGAGGCTGTTTCTCAGCTAACAAGTCTCCTCTGTATCATTTGATCATTTAAATTATTATGCCAGGAATTCTCAGGAGGCAGCTCGGCACTCCACATCACAGGGCTGTTTTTAATCTTCCCCTTCCCTTTCTTCCCCTCCCGAAAAGTTCAACAGCTCAGAGAGAGAGAGCTGCTCCTGTTGTGTACCTGCCTGCCGAACACCAAAGGAGGTGACTTCTAGTGCCAAAGCACAGAGAGGGAAGCTCAGGGGAGCTCCTTGACAAGGGGGGAGGCAAGATGTAGAGCCACACGCACACACGCACACATACACACACACACACACACACACACACACACACACACACACACACACACACGCGCACTCACACACACACACACACACACACACACACACACACACACACACACACACACACACACACACACACACACACACACACTCACACACCGCAGCCCTTCAAAACTCTAAAAGAGGAGGAAAATCGCTGCTTTGCTGCACAAACTTTTCTCCCACAGCTTTCATCCACTCATCTTAGACTTCTGTGTGGAACCCAATTGGATCCCTTCTTCAGTATGGGCACTGACTGAAGTGACTTTTCATAAGAAGTTGGAGCCACAGACGTTTAAACTTTGCCAGATGCCACAGAGAGAATGCAAACTCTGAACCGGCGGGCCACGAAAATAAATGCTCATCAGAGGGCCAAAACTTCTGCAATGTGCAATTTGTTGAAATCCTAGGCCATACATTGCAGCTCGCCATATCTGCATTTTCATCAGACAAACATTTTGGACCATCTAATTGATTGAGCTATTTTTCCCAGGACCGTTTACAGTCAAACATTGTCTGCATTCATTGTTACACCAACTGTGGAGATATTGCATCAGTCACAAGGGACATCACTATTAAGAGCACAGCTCTTCTAAGACAAACAGGATGACTTAAAGCACTGCTATTCCATCGACCCACTGTCACAGAAATCACTTTATCAGCCTCTTTCCCATATATCCTTTCAACTTTTAATGATCAAAGGACAGAGATTATAGTAAGGGATCTCTCACACATGGACAAGCCAGGATTATCAATCAGTGGCAGGGGAGTAAAGTAAAGTCAAATTTAAAGTGAAGGGATATAACTTAAGTCTGTATACAAAATTAACCCCCGTCAAAGTAGAGCAGCAGGGGTACTCTCTAAGGGCCTGGGATCTGCGGTTACTGAAGGAGAGTCCAGAAAGACTGCTGATAACTTTGGAAAATAGAGCTACTAATTGATGTAGCTAATAAGAAGCACTGGAGCTTCTTTTTAGAGCAGCTGTGATGGTAAATCCACCTAATCAAAGCTGGAATGGAAGAAGAATTTAACCCGACCACTCACATTCCTGTTAATCAAGAAATATGACACAGCTGACGAGGCATTTTGTACATCAGGTGAGTCACATCGCTCTCAGAGCAAAAGAAGCCGTTCAGTTTTTAATTCGTCCCTTATCTTAATCATAGATGATTGGATGTGTGCTCTGAGGTCATGATAACTGATCGGGCAACAGCAGCTCGTTTAAACTAATAAATCACGGGACATTTAATACATCATTTTCTCTGGCAAATACTGGTCCGGCTCTGCAGGAATCACAGCCACTGAGAATGACATAAGGAGGCTCAATAATGTAACTGGGAAAACACGAATATATCCGTTTACTCACAATAACAAGTTGTCCGCCATTAAAGGAGAATTCTGGTTTATTAGGACTTTGGTCATATCTTTGTAGTTTTGGCATGAAGTAGTGTGCATAGCGTGTATTGAGAGGGGAGCCTTATTAACTGCGTACCCTTCTTACTAACGGTTATAACTTTAGAACATTAATAACCCACGACTAACACTCTTCAACAGGACAGAACACCATGGCACACAACAATTCTGTTTGTTTCTTACCTGTGCAATACAAGATTTAAGAAATGTCTCTTTGAATACTTGAATACTTTTAGTATTTTATGTGAGTTTGTAGAGTTTATACAACTATTTTAAATACTTAGTTTTGAAAAGGAAGCAATGAAGTTGTGCAGTTTGCACAATAAAAATTGTTTGCATTCTGATTCCTTTAAATCATTTTGTGTAGCCAAGCCAAACCCTATATTAGTCAAAGCCTTCAGTATATACTGTACATAATGGCATTAAAATGGGTTTATATATATGTATATATATACATATATATAAATAAAATAGGGATTATTATAAATTATCAGGATAATTAAATTACAGCCGATAGATTATCGCATAATATCAATAATAATTCATCTAGAATTCTTATACAATACAATTATTATGCTTTAACTTTACTAGACAAAAAAAAAAAGAATAAATCCACAAGAGTAAACTATTTTTTGTTGTTGTGTAAACAATAGTGCGTCAATTAGATTTGGTTGGAACAGAGCTCTGGAATATAAAGTTGTCCATATTTGCTCACTACATCTAAGACTTTCTTCCCCTCAGATGTAAATAAAAAAATGGAGGTTATTAACAGTTTTTTAAAATGTGAAATTATTGGCCCACCATAACAGTATCGGCCATGAGAAGCAGGTAATCATCGGTTATCGTATCAGCTGAAAAAAATCCATACTGTGCATCCTTAGTTTATATTCTTTGTACTGCTGACAGTAGAATAAGCCACTATAAACCTATAAAAAGGCCCTGTCAAAAAAAAAAACAATACACACACGCACGCACAAAAAAACACGATATACTGTGAAACCGTCTCATCTTGTACTGTGATACAAATTTTTGTCATAGCACCTAGCACTAGTTCTGACCATCATTTCTATCAGTTACAATAACATGTATTCGCCAAAGTAATTGCTGAGATCTGGGAACATGATGACATCGCTGCAACAAATGATGTAAATAAGCCAACAGTTTATCCACATTTACAAAAACTGTATTTGGAAGTACAATTGATAAGTATGCATGTCCAAAATTTCAGTTATATCTCTCATTGCATGGGAAAACAGTGTATACAGTAGGAAAAAATATAAGCAGAAGTCTGAGAACTGTGATGGATGTTTGCTGACAGTTTGGGGAATCATTTGACTATTTACCTTTGTTTCCTCTCCCAAATAAGTTTGGCTAACCTGGAGGTTTGTTTACAACTGATCCTCACACTGATGTTTCTTGCTCCATCTGACCTCTTTTCCTCGAGATGTCACTGTGTTCACAGATTGCAGAAATCCACAAGAGAATTTTAAATGACCATAGATACAAAACAGAAATAATAGGGTGGCTGTGTAAGGTAAACCACAGACTACCTTTGAAATGAGTTTGGGTTATCTATATCCAGAGATGGCCTCACAGTGAAAAAGTATAGACTTTGGTGCTTTTATTGAAAGGTTCAACCCTTTCACCCATTGATGGATTAAGATAAGACTATTTGAAAAAGTTGGTTTTAATATTGCATATTTTGTATTTATGGTAATTTACATTTCCTTTTTAGTTTCTGCATTCAGTCGATAGGGTGATGATGGCAATGATGTTTTTTATACTTAGTATCCATGGTGATCTATCAATCACATGACTGATCAAGGTCAATGATTGTATATGAAGGAAACTGGATGCAAGGCAAGCTAGTGAAAATGTTGGTGAATACAGCGTGGCATATTGCAGGTGTTGTTATTCTTATGGCCAAATTACATTGCTATTAGTACCAATAGAATGGCCCAAACTACAAAAATAAGACCCAAGTTGTGTTATACCATAACTTGCTAATAGCCAACAAATGTTAGCATGACTTTTAATTGTTTTTGCACATTCTCAGCTGCGTTTGGTATTGAGTTTCATCACTTTGGCTGAGCCATAATGAGGATGCCACCCTGTAGCTGCTTCCTTGTGGTCACTGCGTTGCTGTTTCTGTGCTATTGCACATCTCAAAGCGGGAGGCAGTTACTGTATGTGGGTGAGCCTTCAGTCCGGGAGCCAAAGCCTGTCAGAAGCTGGACGGCTCAGCGGACTGCAGGTGGCACCGGGGGAGGACGGTGCACAGGTTCAGGATGTGTGTCTAGGTGGGTGGGGGTGGACCAGGGTGGTGTGCGCCAAGACAAGCAGGTGTGTCGGGGCGGTCCGTCTTGGCCCTGTCAGCGATACACCATCATTAGGCGGTGTGGGCGCAGCAGGGTGCACCATTATGTCTCCCTGGGCCCTGTGTAATTACGCTCTGACATAATTAACCCAGCAAGCCCATTAGCCAAGCATTGGCTGGCTGAAGAGAGGAAAAAAAAAACGCTATAATTATTTGTTGTGCGCATGTTAATGAGGCCAGCTGTGTTCCCATCATACAACACGAACAAATTAATTTACAAGGCTGTGCTCCAAGGTTTTTTCTTTTCATTCAAAACAGTCTTGTTTTTTTTCCTCTGAGTGGACTTCAAGGTCCATAAACACTCTCTGCCGCTGCTGCAACAAACAGTAACACTGCTGTAATATTGTTGTCAAGAACCA